GTCTAAAGTCCAATTGATAGCTGCTTACCAGGTCTTAATTCAAATGATAGAACTAAATGTCTAAAATCCTTGAATCCCTCACAAAGCTAAAGCCCTGATGGTGTTTCTAGTATCGTACTTAGAAAATGCACAGGTATTTTGTGTCATCGACTTATAGATGTCTTCGATGTATCGTCCTCTAAAAACATAATACCCACTGCTTGGGAGCAGATAAAAATTGTACCTGTGTTTAATTCGTCTTCTGGATCGGATGTTACTTTTCGATACATCGCTATAACTTCCCCTCTTCTGAAGACAATGAAGAAGTTACTTCTGCCTGTGATTGGGCCTTCATTGATGGCCTTCAGAGATCCAAAACAGTTTGCTTACAAACACCGGAGGAGTACTTTAGATCCAGCCACTGTCTTGCATTATAATATTGTTTTTAGTCTCGACAAAGATGTTAAGTATGTCCATTGTGCCTTTTTGGATTACTCATCAGCCTTTGACTCTGTTCCTAAACCACTCTTGTTAAACAAGCTTGCCATAGCCCATACTGAGCCATGGGTCACAAAATGGCTGCATTCTTACTTTTCTGAAAGGAAACAGTACACTATCCATAGAAGGATGCTCCCCACTTCATCGCTTACTGAAGCTGGTGTGCCTCAAGGTGCTGTACTTTCTCCTTTTCTGTTCCCCTTTTTTGCACGATTTGCCTTATTCTGTTGAAACTAATTTCATCAAGTATGCTGACGGCCCGACGATTTCGATTCCAGTAAACTCTTCTTTGGATTGCTCTAAATTAAATGAATTCTTGTCTGAAGTTGGTAAGGGGTCCCTCTCAAATGGTCTCAAACTGAACCCCTCTAAATGTCAGACTGTTAATTTTAGCCTCAGGCGTCAACAAGACTTATGTGAGCTGCTTAAATCTCATGACACCTGCCGCATCAATGGTATTTCTGCAGAAGGTGAATCGAGTGTGAACTATCCTGGGTTGCGTTTCACTTCTGACCTTTGTTGGTCGTCCCATATTTTATTGACCTGTAGAAAATCTTCCGTTCAACTTATTACGTAAAGAAATTGAGGCTTTCTGATATAACTCAACTGCTTCTTTTACAATTTGTTAATTCCTGCATTTCACGCACTCTTCTGTATTGTTCCCCATTAATCTTTCCTTGTCTCCTTAAAAAGGACTACGTTATGTTGCGTGGGGCTTTGGAGGCCGTCAGCAGGGTGAGTGGTGTGTCTCTGGCTCAAGTGACTAACGCTGTAGTTGACCAACATATAAATTCCTGCAAGCTACTAGCTACATGAATGTTAACTGACAGTGAGCATCCACTCCATTTACAGCTCTCTCCATGTATCTCCTCAGGGAGGACAGGGAGAAACTACATAAGACTGTACGGTTAAGTATAAGAATTTAACTGTACCTTACCTTGCACGCATATTTTGTGAGGAAAAAGTGTTGGAACAGAAATCACACATCAAATTTGTGATGGTTAAAAATCTCACTTCAATAATTTAACTTACAATGCAAAATTTTCTCGTTTTTAATATTCCTCACATAACTTAAATTTTTACAATGATAAAACAATTCGAAAGGCTGCAAAGTAGTGTGTATATACTCATATTTTGTTGTCATTGCAGTATATATCGCGCTGAGAATTCTAAACTGTACCACAAATCGTTTGGAATAAAGTTGATTATTATTGTTGTTATTATTAGAGGCTACGGTAGTAAGGATTTGCTTAGTTGTCCAGTGATTAGTTGTTTCGACCAGGGGTCATACTTCACCGCTGCAGATTTCATATTAGCCACTGCTCGATTTTACTACAACTCCAAGACTTGTCTCGGCACCACTGTTCCATTGAGGAGTTTCAAGTATTTTCACTAAACAATAAGCCATGTATAACTCCTAATGCTTGTGGAAATTTACGCAAGCTCTCAAGAAGATACATCACGACTTCGATGCACTTCGGCTGATTCTTTGTATTCTTAGCTTTACCTCGGATAACCATGATTTGCGTTTGAAGAATGAAGAGAGTATTGGGCTAGCCAGCTCATCTGGGGTATATGCCCTCTCGGCGCTCCTTAAGAGATGATCGAATCGCACAAGACATAACATTTCTCTTCTTATCCATGACATCAAGGCTTACAATAATCCAGTGTGTGAAATATTCAGTGACTTACTTTCAGTTAGTGATCTGGAACCTACAAATTTTTCTTGCGACGCTAATGAGGTCTGCACTGTTAAAGGCTATTCTTCTCCTCCACTAACGCCAATAGACACGGCTGAATTCACATATCCTAATAGTCACTGAGTCATTGGGACGCTAAAATGCTCCAGCAGCCCAGGCACAGACGGGGCATCATCACGTCTCTTTAAATCTAGCAACCCTGAGGTTCCACTATTATTACTTGAAATGTTTTCTCTGTTTTTAGAATCTTTGACATACCATGATATCTGGAAGACATCACTTATCCTACCCAGATATAAATCTGGTTCAAAACAGCGGCCAGTAACTACCGACCAATCAATATTCTGGAACACAACATTTAGTACGATCTGCGCAACCACGCCCGTAGCGTCACAATGAAACCGCCTAAATCCTGCTTGCGCGCAAACTTCTTCACCGTCAAATTCTCTCAGTTGTGGAACAGACTTACTGCTTAAGTGAGAGCCTCCAAAACAACCTCTGAATTTGGTCTGTCCTTTAACTTCTTATCATCTGTCAACTTATCCGGTTTACCAAATACACCAACAGCATCCTTCATGACATTTTGTATGCTGGGTCCCCTTAACGTATGACCTGCGATGGCCTTTCATACGAAGCGCTGGGGAGACTTCCACAAGCTATGACCCCAGACTAACGGCAAATTCTGCCCCACCCGACATAGCAATCAAAAACAGAAGTTCTACAGTACATGACAGCATGAAATTTATGTTCTTATTTACTCAATAGAGAAAGCACATACAGTGAAAACCATAGCAATAGATGTTAGGAAGGGAGAAACATGAACATGGATAACACTCTTCTTGTTGGAGTTCTTGCTTCTTTCTCTGACTGCTGCCTTGTCTACCTTTTTTCTCGTTGTACAAAGGCAACTTCTGGTGAAAAATGGTGTTAACATGCATGAATTATACTGTTTGGAAATCATCATTGAAGCACAGTAAGTAAACAATCTGTGCACACATTCCCTCATAAACATTTTGTCCTAGTCTCAAGCAAAATGTACGAACTGTTACAACGGAAGTATTAGCTTCAGGATTTATTTTCTTTAGGTAATACATGTGGCGTCAAGATACAAACCTGGTTTTTTCGTTAGTGCGAAGACAATTCATTCACTTGTTCAATTTGTAAATTTTTGCATACTTATTCTGCATACTTATTCCATTATATGGGCATGTAGGACTTGTTTCTTCTGGTGACAGTAGGTGGGGATTCAGATTGCTTTCCATGAAGATACAGGTAACTTACATAGAAACTTATTCATACCTGTAAAAATGGTGTGTGCCTGTATATTCTGGAATAAGCATAATTATTATTAAAACTCCCAAGTTTGTACTTTATTACCTCGCAGTCGGTCGTGATAACCTCCAGAATACTGGGGGCCTGTACACGAAGTTAAATGTAACTCTTCTGTCTCATCAGCAAGTACGATATCCCGTGATCCCCCCACAGGATTCTATGCAGATGTGTTTTGTAGTTTGCTCTGTCATTTCTGACTCCCATCGCATATCTCCTATGGATAACGTGGTAATTTTGCCAGTCCACAGAGTTATTTTTGATCCCTCATTGATTCCAAGAAGGCCGTTTACGTGTGGTAAGGTTGCACGCCTTTCTAAAGTTCCTGTCACGATGGAATTCTACCGACTCTATGTTATCAGGAACTCCTTGTATTGGCATATGAATACAATGAAGGTGACCTTCTTGACTCACACTCTGCAGCTGTCTCGAGTTCACTTATTCAGAATAGCGAATGTCCGGATGAATTTTCAGCTCCCCTTCCTTAATAGGTAAATGCGACGCCGACAACAGATTCTCCACACATATCGGTTGGTCACTGGAGGGTAATCGACCTCATATTGTATGGTCCTAAGTGCTGATGCACTTCTATCGATCTAATCCAGTCCTACCAGAGTCACTGGCCTCTCATATATTTCAGCGGTAAGGTCTTTAACTGCACCGGGTCATGTGGGTTGGAATCTCAGGCGGGACATCATTCCAATTAGGCTGACAGACACACCTTGCCGACGGGTTTTAGCAAGCACGAAACCTAGGTCAAGAGCTTCCTGCCGATCATCTCTATCCAACTCACGGATCCTTTACGTCCCTCGTGGAGGCTATTTTGAGCTGGGGTAATCAGGAAACACACGTCAATCAAAGTGAGTACACGAAATATTCCCCCTGCAGTATGTATGTGAAAACTATACTGTTGAGCACGGAAGCTCTTGTGCAGGCACAATTTCATTTTTCATGTGAATAAAGATGCAGGTGGTGGATGATTGCAGATTGAGTCTGCATTATCAACAATAAGACCAGTCACAACATGGAGACCCAAATGCGGAGTAAAACAACATGTGTGCATACTTCAGAATGACAGTACCTTATAATCTCCCTCCGACCTTCCAACTAGGCTTTCACTTCACGGCAAGCATAGGTTAGGTGTTGACAACGACATATCTTACAGAATGGACCTAATTTACTATAAATTCATATTATCAGCAGTTAACTCCCCTAAACAGAGTGAAGATGCTGCACGCAACTACTACAGGTTTGCTGACAGACAGTAGGCTAGATTGACACGCCCAACGTAACGGTGTCATACGAGTTGATATGCTGTATGACAAATCTATCTATTTGGTTAAGAGTAAATGAAGAGATTAAATGAGTTCTAGTCTCACACAATATCACTAAATAATGACCAATGATATAATTCACGACACACTAAGTTTACATGACAACATGCTGTCTGCAGGCACTCAGTTTACGCTAGTTTGTCAAAACTTATTGTATATTGAATGGATGAGATCCCAAAGCCAAGGGCGAGCGGTTTTTCAAATTAGTGACATTCTGTGTTGTGTGTGACTGTCATGTACCGTATTGGTCGAGGTAATAGAATGCTGACCCTGATTTAAGTATGGAGATACGGTTTCAAAGTAAGATAAAAATCTTTGGGTTGTCAAAAGATAGTTATAGCTCACGTACATACTTTGCTAAAATTAAGTATTATCCAGGAGTTTTAAGCAATGTCTTTTCGCATTAGTAAACATGTGGCACATATTGTAATTGTTGTAAGTGCACTGGATGAAAAGTAGTTACCATTTTGTCTTCGACTTAGTAGTCCTTAGTTCATTGTCCTATACTGTGGGATTCCATTTCTCTCAGACTCAGTTGCGTGGAAGACGTGGATATGCACCTTTGGGTGTCAGGAAATCTGTTCAGGTTATGCGTGTCTCTCCATTCAACTACTAACCGAATAACTGTTGGAATTCCACTTTGACCCAGTAATGTAATGATTGTCCCTCATTTCAAGTTTAGATGTTTTCACAATCAGTCATCTACTGACATACGATCATTTCCTATCAAGAAACTCTTATTGAGTTCAACAATTAACTGACTGTCTAACTTCAAACAAGATCGGAAGTATTCCATAACTTCAGAACGTAGATGTCACCTTGTCTTCGGAAGTTTTTCGCGCTAGACATAGATCATACGTTTACTGGTTTCATCTTCAGGGTAGGTTGTCATAATACTATGCAAGTTGTAGGGAATTAAAATATAGACAAGGGGAAGCTTGAGATGCGCTAATCACATTCTCGCTTCTTATTAGGTTTTACAATGTAGTTATATATTGTCGACCAACGATTAATTTTTTAATAGTAGCACTTTTTTGATAGAACTTCACTTTGGAATTGCGGTTTTTGGGAACATTGCTTCTTTACAGGCTTGATTTACGTATAGTAAAGTTAAAAAGCCTCATTTTGATATTATTGCAAACAAAAGTGAGATCATATAGTTTTCGATTTCATCATTTAATGGGGTTTGTTGATGTGCACCGTTACTGTCTGTCATCTGAACTTGCCTATGGGAAAGTGTTTTTCTTTTTTCGCAGGGGACAACCTCGTGAACATTGGTTCAATGGCCTAAGCATTTAACTACCAAGTAATGGGTTCTGGCTCCATGCCTTTGTTCACCTACTCCAACTTTGGCAACCACTTAGTATCATGAACTCAAATACTATGGTTCATTGTCTGGCAAGCGTAATGGATATCTATTTCAGTTGCATTATTTATTTATTTGTAGGCTGGTGAAAATGCATTTAGTCAACTGATGCTCAGTGTTTAGAAATATAATGGATGCTATGCAAATGAAGCATGTTCATAAAAGTTGCAGGTGTCTCTTAACTGACTTTCAGTGATGACTTCTGAAATTCTTAACAGTCTATGACTTGATGGATTGCTAGACATGTTTAAAAATGGATCTTAGCAGTAATCTTGCTGCAGTGCTTTGCCTTCTGTGTAGACAGAACTTCAAAGTACGAAATAAAGCAACCTGCAGTCCTTTTTAAAATTTTTATTCGTCTTTCATTATTATTGTCCTTATTTTTACGTTTATTGCCGTCATCAAATCTGGTCTTACTTAACGTGGTTTTTCCATATCCTCAACGTTGTTACTTCCCTTCCACTATTTTTGTTAGTACCCTGTTGCACCACTACCTGAGTTGAATGCTGTATAAGAGTACTTTTCACGTTAAAGGTTTTTGGTTTTATCTGAATTGTTAGTGACTTCCAACTAGGTATCTGATCATTTGCCTACCTAAGCTTTATTTGTGTACATTATTTCACCTTCTTTTGTCGTACCACTAAATTTAAGTGCTACAAATTAAAAAGCACCTTTCTATCACTACTGATTGATATGCAGACATGCATTATGACAGTTGTTAAACTGTTTATTATTATTTTCTTATATTTTTCAGCCTGTTGTACTTAACATTCTTCACTGTAAAACTCAACGCCTGTCAAACGAAGTTTTGTCAACGCCTGAAGTTTATACTCGTTAGGGGTTGATGTTGATGAGTGATTCTAATCTGTCACCAAAATCCTCTGCTGTTTTGCCCATCAAGGGTTATATTTCTACTGTTGGAGGATGTCTAGGTTCCCCGGAGGATAGGATTGCAGTTCCTACATCTGAAGAATTGTATATTTTGGTAAGGATTATTTACGGCAGTGTGTCAACCTGCATTTGCAAATTAACCATATGAATTCCTTTTATATCACATAAATACAATCCTAAGTAACAGAAATTTCCTGATTTCTGAAGTAACTGTAAGGTTTGTATTTGAAGTGGAGTCCATCAGTTGTTTAGAGGGAAAGTGTGCGGACAGATAGGATTGAGTTGTTCATTACGTTTGCCCTACTTACCGCATCAGAAGAGCAAGGGATGTTCATGTGCTTATACTGGGCTGAAACTACTCGATATAAGCGTGAATAACACTGTGGAATTATGAAAACACGCAACAAATGCAAGTGTTTTCCATGTGATAGATGTGTCTGGATAAGAATGGTATTTTATACTGGACAGGCGATCATGCTAGAGTATGGATTCTCTCAAATTTTCATGTCAAAAGTGTGTGTATATATTGTGTATGTCGATTGGGATTTTTCCATAAGAATATTTCGTTGTGACAATTTCAAGTCACCAATAGCAGGTATCCTGTCCACAATTTCTAGTTGACTCTAGTTAGTGCATTGACTGTTGTAGCTGACTTTCAACCGGTGGTTCACGGGTTCGAAAACCACCTCACCTACCTAGATGTGGGTAGCCAGATAGCGTCATAAGCCTTCATACAATAGGTGTGGCTCGTTGCCTACTACACGAATGTGCACAAGGGTAGCGAGTGGATTTCGATTTCATACTAGGTTTTAAGATGCACTTTAGTTGCTCAACCTACACTAACGATGGCTGTTTTATCATGGTGAAATATACTAATTCCTTTATTACGTCCTCTTTATCATGTTTTGTCTTCCCTTTGAATATTATACGGTTAGACGCCTTACATCATCCTGGGATGGAAATGTTTGCTTTTATTATCCTACAATAATAACTAATGATTCAACCTACACAGTGGTTAAGAGCCTCCTTGAGCTTATCTTTAGAGCTCATTTAATCTTCTTGATGGGATATTGGGCACAGCATAGTTTTTGGCAGTTACTATTCAGAAGATCATATTTTGCTAACTGATGACCAGTCAAGCATACTTAAGTGCCTGCAGGAGGCATAGTTGTCACTCATCTGGTATCGGTCGATGGCTTCTCAATACTGTTTATCCTAATTACTGTTCATTGACTTTCCACTGTGTCTGCTGGTTTTACTGTTCTAAAATATGAGTACACTATTTCACCTTTGGAGGATTGCTGCGGGTTAATGCTTTTTGAGGATCCGTGTCTTCAGCCACCTTTTCGAATGTAGTATTATGGCTCCTGAACATGTTCCCACTATAAGATACAGCCTAATTTCTCGTAATTTACTTCATACTTTCTTTTGGCATAAAAAAGGAGACTAGTGGCTTTTGAGGCTGCTATTAACATGCCTTAGTAGCTAGTTAGTTTGAAACTTTTAGTATTGTTCATAGTGTTCGGATGGATTTGCTCGTACTACTTGAGATACTGCAACTGATCTTGTGATCATACTTTAGCCATAAGTTTCTTGTTTTAGATATAGATGGGTGACTTGGGGTTCGGTTGTCAGTAGGCAGTTCTAAGATAATATATGTGCTTAATGTGACTCCTATTATTTAGGGAGATCCACAAAGAAAATGTTCCTAAATTAGTAAGACATTGAAATGTATGTTGCCTTGTGTTATCTAGGTGTACTTAATATAATGACTTCGCTCTTTTGTTAAACACTGGTTCCTTGAAGTCCTTTCGCACTAGAAAAGGATCATTACAGAGTGATGATAATAGTACTGACTGAAAAATAAGTCAGGATATAACTGCCATATGCTGCTCAAAATCAATCTCAGTAGTGGAGATTCATTCACACCTTACCTCCCTCCAAAGTATGGATGCATTATTATTATTACTGTTATTACTATTATTATTGTTATTATTATTATTATTATTATTATTATTATTATCGTAATCATCATTATTAGTCGAATAGTTTTTCTCAACCTTACTACACAGTTGAATTTTTGTAGTTGTGCATTTCTTGACCAATTATATACCTTCATGTATTTAATACCCTCAATACAGAATCTCACACTTTCCTTGGACGAAAATCGTTCTAAGAAGATAGCTATTTCTCAAGAAGTTAACTTTACGTACCGCGGTTGTGTAAACATTGAACTGGAACCTAAATATGTTTCAAAAGGATCTCAGGTCGATGATGAAATTAGTAAGGGCTGTGAATTTTCAGACTCATCCTGAACATTTAGAAATTGCTCTGAGAGAAAACGTAAACAGATCTGTACTATTCCCAAATGAACAAACGACTCGTGATGTTTTAAAGGCTAGGAATGGAGTTCGATTAGTTTCCTGGAGTCCTCGAGGGGTCGACAAATATGAAAGGTTAGTTAGTGTTTTTTGAGATATTGTTCACATTACCGCAACCATTTTGGAATACTTATTACGTAAAACTTTTGGGTTTGAATACATAAGTGCATCTCAAGTCGTTTGTTATTTTTCACGATATCCTTATGAAATCACCTGTACACTGGTCTGTTACTTAGGAACTTTCATCTACCCTGATGATTTAGTGGTTGACTAATTGTCGATACCAATGACCCTCAGTAGTCGCATAGAATTACACTCTATCGTACGATGGTTGGTGGTGGATGACATAGTTTTTTGGCACATTCTGTGTTTGGTGTCAACCTTCAAAGTCAATCAAATCACCCCTGTGTTACTATTCATTCCTTCCCTTCCATTCAAGGAACTTTTCTATTGCGTTTTATTTATTAGTTACCTTTCCACGCATTCCGTCCTGCTTTGTTTCATTGCATTTTTCAACCCGTTGATTTTATGTTAGTGTGCTGTCGAAGCTGTGGCTTAGCGGTTTATGGAGATGACTGTCAACTCTTTGGTCAGGGGTTCCAGCCCCGCTCCACCTACCGAGGTTTGGCAGCTAGGTAGCTTCATTAGTCCTCATACAATAGGTGTGGCTCACTGCATACTGCATCGATGGGCCCAAGGTGGCCGAGTGCGTTTCGCTTTGTTTCGTGCTGTTTGAAAGCGTGATGGCCTGGAGTGACATACTTTTATTTTGTATGGTGTTATATGTATCTGACTAACGATTTAGTATACCACACTCACGTAATTTTTACCCATACGGCAGTCGATGCAGTAGTTTTGAAACAATGTCAGCCGTATTTTTTCTTATGTAGATTGTATTACTGTAACTCTACAGGTGTATCATGAGCCTAACGACTTTGGAGAATCGGTCAGTTTTGTGCACTCTTAAAGGAACTGAATCGTGGGAAGAGGTAAGCTATGTTCCTATTTTAATAAAGTAGCTTTCCATTCAATGATTTGACGGAGAATTTGTCGATTGGGACAGTGACAAGTTGGTTGCTGTAGTACTCGATATCTGTATAGTACTTTATGTCAGGATGCCCTTTCTGCATTTTGCTTATTTCACAACAGCTGCTAAAGTGGGAAAAGTACCTTTTTTGTTCAGAATAATGTTTACTAAAGCAGATTTAGACGCATGGTAGATTTTGTAAGGTTTTTCACCAGTGTGAATTTCAATGGAATGACAAAAATCATTGAAGAACACTTCTGTTTATTTCGGGTCATTTAAGCTGTGCCAACTGCCAACTTCTATATCCAGTTCGGCCTCCAAATCAGTGTTAAGTAGTAAGAAAGCTAAGGATAACTTCAAAGGTTTAAATAAGAAATATCGACCATTGATGGAAAGTAATTCCGCTGCTACGGGAGTTGGTTGTTGTTGTTGAACAGCATTCTGATAAAAAAGATAACATTCTCTATAGTGTCTAAAGGTATTCTTTCTTATTGTAATGATACCTATGCTTACTGCTAAGTTGTTATGACGTAGATTGTGTGACAACTGATCACTGCTGCGCCACTGCAACCAATTTTCAACCAATTCACCAATAGCACTCAATACTGTTTCCTATGGTCTCGGCGACCCGGGCCAGGTAGTCCACACCTAGCACGGCTCAGATTAATGGTCAGGAACTTCATCGACTGGTGTTACATCTTGGTCTGGCCACCCTGAGCCCTCTTCCGACCTAACCCAACTTATCCCAGCATTCCACGTCAAGGGAGGAGGTGGCTCGGCATTCACAGTACATACAAGCCATCTCATTCGATGAAGGTTCGAAACCTCATCAGTCGACTTATCTGTCTTTCCTAGTACTCTCACGGTGAATCAACCAAACACCAGCAATGCCACGAAGACACTGATGATCAAAAACCTGTAGTCCCCTTCATATTTCTCACTTTTAAAGGCTATGTCTCACGGAACGGGCAGCAGCGCAGTATACTCGTCCTTTGATAGGTAGTCGGATATCTCACCAGTCAGCACCAGAGATGACTGAAGTTGGTAAATGTCAAATGGTCCTTCTGTATTCGAAACTGAGATTTCATCCGCTATCAGCCCGTTCGGGCTGTTGCAACTTCCCAAGTAAGTGAAGTGGTCGACACATTCCGCCACTTCACTACCTATGCTTTAACTGGTTTTAGATTTCCGACCGTTTCTGGAACATCATCTTACATTTGACAGGTATGAAAGGCGTGCCAAACATATTCAGATTTCTGTTCTACGCGTTCACAAGCCTCTGCATATTGTCAGCATCTTCACCTTGCAGGATAATATCATCTGCATACTGCAAGTCAACCAGATGACTTCCAGGGAGTTGAACAATTTTTTTGAAGTTAGACGGGTTATTTTCATTAGTGCATCTATAACGAAGTAAAATTGGAACGTTGAAGCAGGCATCCGTGGAGGACATCACTAGCTGTTATCAACTCACATGGCAACTCTCCTAACCGAATAGACTGTAAACGTTACCTGACCGCGTGAAATTGAAGTAAACGAGACGGGTACGAACATGTGACCTACTATTTAAAGTTCTAGTGGGTGATCCATAAAGCCACAGCTATTATCAGCTATGCTGTGTTTTGTTTCTTATATTATGCTTATGTTTACTTTCGCTTTTTATCTTCTATTTTGCATCAGTCAGTTGATATATCGTTAATTTGGCAGCAATATTACATTAAACATGGTAGAATTGCACAAGGTCGGAAATTACCTGTTGACAGTCAACCACAGTTCATATTTCAAGTTAGTTTTTTATTTGGTGACAAATTTTATCTTATGATGCTGATTGTTGATAAATGTAAAATCGCTATTCGGATTTACAATGTAGTTGCTTGTAGTATTCGATTTATTAACCTCTTCTTCTGAGAAGTAATTCAGTATAGAGATGTACTTTAAGGAAGACGAACTTCCTGATTTCGTTTTAAAACATCTTTTAGATGTGATAATAGTTTACCTATGCTTTGGAAACTGATTCCAGAGTGGATTATGTTTTCATCTGTATATTACATCGACATGATACTACTCATCGTTAAATGCATTCGTTTCTGTCATTTTCAATTGTAAAGGTTCACATTGTATAATCCATTTAGGATATTTTTTAGGAGAATGGGTTCATCTACTTAGTGTTTAGTTATAGAATTTTAAATGTTGCTTACATCAGTCTCTCGAGTTTCACTTTCAACCTGCGTTTCATTCTGAATTATTGTTCGCTTGTGTGTAGCGTTTCCATGAACATTGACGTATGCAGCAAACAAACGACGAAAGTGATAAAAGCGGGAAATTCCTTTTGAAAATCTTAAACTTCCCAAGCTTTAAGCTAACCTCTATTTAACAAAAGTCGTGTTCCATCGTCAATGTTTGTAAATAAAGATACCTTGCTGTTATATAATGATTCAATTTCCCGAAGTGAACAACCATCTACGATTCCTTAATGAGCCATTTGATAACACCATTCTGGTAGTTCTAACTGCAAAGCGTGACATGTGAAGTCACTAAAGACTTTAATTAAAGCGAGTACTGTTTGTTAGCAATAAAGAGCAACCACTTAACTATCACATGTTTATCAGTGTTAAGAGGTATACCTTATTTTGATCTGAATAGTTTAATGTTAACTAAGTTGACTATGCCCTAGTAGATTTGGATTTCACCAGTGATGATGATTTATGTCTAATGTCGTAATAACTCGAAGAAGCACAGGCGAAAACTAACGAGTTGGCAGGAGAGGCAAGGCAGCGAAGACGGGACTTTCTTCAGGTGAACAGAGGTGATGAAGATACCCAATCAACAACAGGCACCTATCACCATCAACGGGAGAAGTCCAAATGAAACAGTCTCTTTCACCTACCCGCCTAGGTAGCATTGTCTCAACCACAGGTGGCGCCGCACGCACAGATGAGGACGTCAAAGCAAGGATCGGAAAGATAGAAAGACAGGCTTTCATTAAACTGAAGTCAGTGTGGAGATCTACTCCAATCAGCATAAAGAACAACATCCGGATTCTCAACACTAATGTCAGTCAAGTCAGTGCTTCTATGTGATGGTTCAGAAACTTGGCGCGTTACGAAAAGCATTTCCAACAAACTACAGATATCAATTAACACCTGCCGCCTACTCTCACTCGATGCTGAAGGTCAGATGACCAGAATAATAAGAATAAGCGACGAGGAACTCTGATTGACTGGCTGGCTGGCAACGAATCAAACAACAAGGTATCGCCCAAAAAAATATGCAGAAGAGGAAAGTGGAGATCGATTGGATTGGACAAACACTGGCGCCAGGCCAGACTGTCGAGTGGAATCCAAAATGGGAACGACGAGTTGGGCGTCTGCGGTGAGGGTGACAATGAGGAGATGGTGCGAGGAAGAAATGAAAGCTTGTGGGCTGGGAGTGGTGGAGCCAGGTTCAAAAGACTGCAGAGAAGAGAGTGAAATGGAGACGTGCTACTGAAGCCCTATGTTTCACTAGTAATCCAAGGGACAAATAATAATAAGTTGACCATGAAATCTAAATATTTTGGGTTCAGTTTCCGAGTTAGTCAAGAATCCACATTACAAAGAGCTTCCAAACTAGGATGAAGTGGTTTTTACCGTTTCTGCAGAGGATATTAGCTTGTCACAGAAAATATCATCAAACTAAACAATATCCTTTTCTTTATTTCTTTACTATATTTATTCATAAACTTGTTTTAATTTAAATTGTATCATATTTAGCCCTCTGAATGCGCCAGTATCCCATCGCTAATATGTGAAAATGTGACAGATTATTTTGATGCAGTTGAAGATGTAATGATAATTTATACCAGTTGGTGTCACATAATCCGACGGCCTGAAATAAAATCTACGAATTCGGCGAATTTTTTCGCTGAGACAACTGTGAAGGATGATAAATCCTACTACACGATACCAGTTGATCCAGAACAACTTGTAACTACATCATTTTCAATGTGTTCAGTGACATTTTTGGCAGTTTTAAAGAAGTCTGGTACTTTCTCTATTTGGATGGTCGCAATACCATTTCTAGGCATGTAAGTTGTTTTTATGGTCTGTTCGTGTCAAGAAGTATTCGTTTCTGCTTACGACTGCTGTCGAGGTGTTTCTTAGAATTGAGGGGGTACTTGCTACCTTCAGTAAGTTTACTACATACTGATGGCACGTTTGTGCTACTAAGACACTTTTGAAGCAGACTTAATGCAACAGTACTGGTTGCCGATAAACATTGGGATATTATTATATTGGTTTGTATTTTATCCTTCTGTTGCATGTTTTTTCTTACGGAAGACAGTCAAACTTTATTTAATTGTTTAATCTACAATTCAGGTCTTCAGTGTCTTTGTTATGGGTCGACTATACGTACACTGTGGTACGCAGTGATGTCATGGATAAACGACCAAATTATATCAAACTTTATGACTTGGACAATGTAAATCGTGAGTTATCTTCGCCGTATTTGTAAGCAGTAGTTTTATGGAAAGCTAAATTATTATAGGTACACAGTTTTCATCTTGCGCATAGTAAAAAGATTGTGTGTAATTTCCACATGATTTTAATAGGGTTGTATTCTTTCCGTTTCAGAGAGCACAACGTCGTAATTGCTGCACAAACGTCCAAGTAATTATGCTGTTAGCCCGTTAATTACCATTCTTGAAATCAGGCTCAACATAGTAACACGAATACTGATTCTACTTAATACTCTGCTTTTATCCAGTCGAATGCTTAGTACGGCCTTCATCCACGTTCTCTGTCTTTCAACATGAGAAAATTAAAATGGTGACTAAAATTAGACCAATAATGCGTGCTTTGTTGTTACAGACTATTTTCAAGACTTAGTTATTTCGTGTGTTTTAGTATTGCTACATTGTCGTAGTGTTTTCAAGCTTAAGTCAGTCAATCAGTGAACATCTACATGGGACCTGGAGTCATTGCATGACGACCCAAGTTGCTACACATCATGTCAACACACCAAGATAAAAAACAGTAAAATAAGAAAGAAACTAAGGTAGTGAAAAGTCTTGAAAAGAGCGTTGGAGGAAAGAAGCAAAAAGGATGTTCGATTTGACAGTTAAAGCCGAGATATTGTGTGGATCCATCTGCGCCACTGGAATCGATTTTGAATCATAGTATTTAGAGTCTCCAACCATCGGTTTCTCTTGTCACACGGAATCCAACTACAAAGCCTACATTTCCCACCATGGCTCAAGGCAATAATTTGAGACTTCACGCACTGATGCCATCTTTTAGTTTGACCATCTTTGATCTCTCTCCTACCAAAATCTATTTTAGCTACCATTGCGTGACGAGGTAGGTGGTGACTAGACACTCGTAACGTATATCTCAGTTATCTCAGCCGGTGAAGGTTTACAACCTCATGAGCCGACTTACCTCCACCTGAAAGTTTACACATAGCTTCTGCATTTCTGATGTGGCTTTTACACTGTAAGATCAATGCTATGAATGCAGTAGTGGTCGAACATCTGAAAACTTTTCATATCCTCTACCTTTAATAGCCATGTTTCACAGGCATATGGTGGGGCGGAGAAAACTGCAACGCAGTATTCTTTGGGGGGAGGGAGCACAGTTTCGGGAGACCAGAGGTACTGCTCCATGAACTCCAGTCGGTTTCAGAGCTGAGATATATCAAAGGTAATGTGAGAGTTATTACTCAAGAGATGTGAGGGAAGATTGGAAGGCGAAATTTAAAAGGTTTATATGATCCAAGGAAACCTGAGCTTCTACAAGGTGGATTATACAACCTTAGTGTTACACCTGACGTTATTCGATGTAGGGACTCTCTTGGCAATTCACTTTTTAAAGAGAGTATTTATGTGTCATATCTGTCTAACGCTGAATATGTTGTTCAGATTGAGGAGTTCTCTGAGGTTGAGATTTAATTGACAGTCACTTTATATTGCTAGATTGGTCGCTACTTCCAGGACAGCCCTTTGCAAGTGATTAGTATGGATAGCAGGGAGTTTAGGACAGTCAGTTTCCAATCTACAAGTGATTGATGCTATATGGAAATGCAGTGGCCTGTTGCCAACGGAATCCCTTCGCTGAATCAGTTTTTAAGAAAGAATCGTTTTATGACTTAACCAGTCCTTTATTTTAAAGAATTCTTATCATACCAACCATGTCATATAGAAGTTATATAATTACACAGGTTTTCTGTTTTTTTGTCAGTTCTTCTTATTTTAGGTTTCACAGATGGCTCAGTTAAAGGTTTAGTTTTCCCAATCGACTATTCTCCAACTGGTATTCTTGTGTTGACTACCGTAAGTAAAACAAGATCTATTTTGAAATTGTTTGTTTATTTTTCTATATTTTTCTTTATTTTGGTAGCTGTGTAGAAAATAGTAAAAAATTGGATAGTCATTATCGTTTAACCGATATTGTTCATGATTTGACAGTTTTGAACAAAGTATTGGACTCAAACAATTAAAATGACTTTGAGTAGAAGATTACGAAAAAATTACTAATGGGGATGCTATGGGCGCTTTTGTATACCAAAGTACTAACTTGGATTTTGATCGGATGAACATTGGAAGGAGTTGCGCAAAAGTATACATGTATTAATGAGATGAAACTTATAAATTCACTAAGCTAGGATGATAATTGATATCAAAGATGACAACGTAAAACAGCCAACTGAATGACCAAGTGTATATTATCATGAAATAATTGTCACTTATATGCAAACTATAAAACTGAGGTAACAAGCATGAACCACTCATTGGCAAGTATAAGACAAAGATCATTTAAGAGCCAATAAGTGCCTAACAGGCAGTGGATTTCTGTTTTTTATGGCATGCAACCATTCAAAAAATTAGTGGTATCGAAAAATTTATATGTGGGATTCTCAGCACAAAATTAAACACTAACGAGTCTGTACGATCAATTTCTCAAGTTATTTCACCTGTGTCACTTTTTTGGTTCTTTGAACCTCACTAAGCTTATGTACATTCGTCTGTCGGACCACTTTGATGGTTCTTTCGTGCTTGTTTCTCACTATAACCAACACCATTCTTCTGCATAGACAGTTTCAGGTACCCCTGGCACTTTTCAACCATCTTATTTGTTCTATTTTTACAATACCATCAACTCATGCAACTCGCTTACCTGTTGTGTGGCTAACCATGAGTTTTGCTTACACACTAGTGATTTAGTATTTGTTACATTCGTTTTTATATAATAGGAGGAACAGATTTCTTGTAAATGTCACGCACTTGTGATTCTTTAGATGACATAAACTATTATTCTGTGTTATGAATAGATGTATATATTTATTAGTTTGCAGTATGAAGAGCTTTTCATGGATTGCAGATGTAAGCACGCGGTTCAAAGTTCTAATATCGTCAACAGTCGGTACCGGAGATAATGAGATAACGTGCGAAAACTAAATTGATTCTCCAGGCAGAAGAATTTATTTGTACAGTTGTGGTGATTGATCAAGAATTGAGAATTAGCCTGCTTAGTGTGATCGCAAATGCTAGGTAGGATGATCATAGGTGAAATAGCGTGGGTGCTCGATTTACTGAAACTACGATGGTCAGCACTCAGTGCTGGGTACTTGTTGCGCTTTTTTCTCCTGATTTTTGAGGGTTATTTTGGTGTACAAACTCGTATGGTGATGGGTTTCAGGATTTTCATGTATCACTAGTTGAGTGCTCGTATTAGTCTTGGGATTCACTAGTGTTTTAGATTAAATTTCCACGAATTTCTATGAATTAATAACATAGCTTATGTGCCTGTAAGGAAGATGTTTTTTGATAGTGTTGCACTCATATAATCCAAGGGTTTGGTTCTAATGAAACCTATAAAATACGTATATTACTAGTTTGTTGATAAAACTTTCATTTCGTCGCTCTATTTACTTAATAATCTTAAAGCATGTATTCTTTTTCATGTTTAACATATTGGACCATTAGTTCGTTCTCATATTATCAACTTCATTTTTTAAAATATGTATTATTTAGCCCTATTTATTCAATCTGTGGACAACTCCTTTGCATCATGTTAGCATTTTGTCATCAGCTTGGTCAATGCACCGTGGTTTATTGTGCATTGGTTATGGTCGTCATTTATTGTTATTTCATATAGATAAAGAAACTTCAGATTCTGATACTCAAGAAAAACAACAGAACAGTCTTTCTGTACAACTTTGTGGACGTGCTCCATTATATTTAGTCAAGTATCAGTTTGTCAGTCAACCAAATCCCATTTTGGGTCAGATTACTGGTACGTTATCACATTATAGAATAGTTTAAAATTGAAATAATAATGAGAATAATTATGATAATAATGCAAAAACTATTTTTGAATTGTATTACTTTAAACGGTCCTGATAACAGTAGCACAACAACTCTAAAGTAATTTCAGCTCAGCTAATTGTTTGAGTATAGTCTCAGGTCTGTGATGTTATTTAGACTCGGAAGTTTGATTATTTTATATTCTTATTTCCAAGTTTCTCTGAACAACTGTCAGTCCAGGTTAAGACATCGGTCTGTTCTATGCTACTACTGGCAGCTTAGATCTTATGAATACTTACAGAATAACTGTTGAAGCAATAGTAAATTAGACATATTATTGGTGACAGGTATTTGCATCAATGAAAACTCCTAAGTTGTGACCATTAGTCGTAGTTGACTAAATATTGAGATAATCTTGTTATTTTGTCTAGAATATATCGATCAAAAGTTTTAGGACAAGTAAGGCATATGAGAAGCGTTTCAAGGTTGTCTAGTCGTTTATTCGAGTTGACATTGATAACTTGGTTCTCACGCTCTCTGTGCGAGTAACTAGTCGATGATTGGAAGAAAGATACAAGATTGTTTAAACGGGATGAAAATTACCAATTGTGTTAGAGATGTCTGGTCCCTTAAACGCTAAGTTATGTACACATTTTCAGTGTAAAATTCAAACCTTATTTTCGCGCCTTTTCCGCTCCGTGCAGTGCTACTTATTTTTACCGCGGTTTAAGATATCAAACGCTGACTGGTCCATTTCGCACCTTTAATATACTATTTTGTTTTCCCTGGCCAAGACCCCTTAAAAAGTATATATAAACGACTGAGCTCCCTGCTATAATCGCACTTTTTCTGTTGAAGTAAATATGCCTTCAATCCCATTGTCTTCCTTTAGTATCAGCTGCGCATCGTGTTGAAAAGTCGTTGTTCTAGCGTTAATGGTATTGCTTTGGAGCATTATATCCTTCACACATGTTATGCTGCGGATTGAAACAAGTTGTTAATCATATCAACTATTTTTTGAAATCGTGATCTGATCTGTACTTTTGAGCTACTGCGCATCAAGTTATCTAATCCCATTATTAGATTGGTATAACTGTATTGTTCTCAGTGAACAGTTATTGGTATTACGTAATTCAGAATACTTGCGAGTGTTCATTATTTATTAAATTGTGTATTCTTGTTATCCGCTCGGGCTAACAAACCGGCTATGCATCTAGCAGTGTCAATTCATATCAGAAGCTTTTCTAATTGTTGTGGCCACTGAATGTTATATGACATCTGATATTTTTATGTTTGTTGAATGATTTTGAGACATTGTTACCAACTTACACAACACCACAAAATCGCTTCACTTAAACATAACAACTACTGTGTAGTTGGGTTTCTCTTTCAAGAATGAAATGTGTATCTAAGTTGTGCACCAGCCGTGTTAAAGGATTCCACAATTTACCAAATAGGCATAAAAAGCTATCGTATGCTGGTGATGCTGTTCTGTTCAACACTTCTTGTATTGAAACCACCCTTCGAATGAGCTAAAATTATAGCACTGATCCGGTTCGTTTACGATACAGTATTGTCACTTTACTTCGTAAACAAAATACTGATGCATGTTGATCTCATCATTGATGTGTAATGTCAAATATGCGCATAGATGTTCTCAGTCTTTTTTAACTAAACAAGCTGATACTAATCCATTAACGATGTATGTCTATGGCTGAGTGGTTTAGGGAGATGACTACCAACCATTGGGCCACGGGTTCAAGCTGCGCTGCACCTACTGCGGTTTGGGCAGCCAAGTAGTATCACTAACCCTCACAATAGATGTGGCTCATTCCCTACTGTACGGATATGCACAAGGTGGCTGTGTGCGAAATAATAGGTTACTAAGCAAGGCATTAGATTACAGCAGACTTAGTCTTATCGTTGTGATTGTGTACGTTTTTTAGGGATGAGCATTTTATCTATTTGACGTTCTCTGAGACGAATGAACTTTTCGATGACTTTTCAATTTTAAGTCAAAAAGGATCTCCAAGTCAAACCTTATGTATGAGATCGATGTTTAGAATCGCTGGCAGTATGGGCTTAGATTCATAATACAGATCTTTCGGACACTTTAGAAAACATTTGTCGCAGGTTGTTGTGTTTGTGTGTTTAACTAAGGCTTTTTAGAGCTTTTGGTTGTGAATAACAGTAATAGCTTGAATGGTACTTCATGCGTGTTTATTTTACGTATGCATAGTGCAAGTTCGATGTTTATGAGATTGAGACATTGCTAATAGTTTATATGGTATAAAATATTTTCCTGCAACTTCGACCCTCGACCCACTTTGCTTTTATTTTTGTTTAAGTATGCTACTTACCTGTTTACCAGTAGCTTCGATAATTAAGCTGTAATAATGTGTGATAATGATCTTACGAACAGCTGCAGCTTTAGGTTGGTTATATCTATAGGAGATGCGAGTTTAAAGTATTATAAAGTTGGCAATGAAGTTACTTTATTCAAAGATCCCAGTCTATGTTATACAGGGATATTTGTGCAAAACGTGCTGAAGAGTTTGTAGTGATTTGTCTTCTGTTTATGTTGTGGAAATTTTCTCATTGAATATTTAAGAGTCCTACTGTATTAATGGTGGTTTTCACCGACTGAGTAAAATATTACTTCGATGTCACTGCCTCACACTTTGTTTCGGGGCTCAATACTTTTTGCCTTAATAATGTTACCGTTAATTTTGACGTTTTTCGGTTACTTTCCCCTCAGTAGCACCCAAAAAATCAGTTATTTCTTAACGCATGTTATTAAGCCTACTAATAATGCTGTTATGATTGTAGTTGTTTTAGCAGTAAAAATCGTAAAAGTTTTGTGCACGTTTCTCTTATCTGTGATGTGATGAGTGCAGAATGTTTGACGTTTTTTATTTGGTTGTACTTTATGTTTCGCGACCTCCTTTCTTCACCAGTAGAAAACTTTCACCTATCTAAAGGGTATGTAAAGGCTTCATGACATCTATAAGTAAAGCTGTAATGCAACGTGGTTAGTTTATTTTACTGGTGAACTATTTGTAGAAAACCGTAGATCCTGCTGTTCTACCCACTTAGTTGCATATTCTGTTTGAATCCATCTCACTAAAGTATACTTTGTTATTTTAGGAATTGTCCTTGTGCGAACTTGACAGACGCAGAGGCCAATCACTAATTATTCGTACTTGTAATATACCCATGAACACAAGAACAAGGAAGAACACAATAGCGTAGTTAGATGGAATAGTGTATTTGTAAGGTCGTGCCAAAATGCCAGTGCATTCCAACTAGCTGGCTAGAGGGTCAATTGCAATCAGTGCAACGTAGCACGACAGCGTGCCAAATGGCTTGGATGCTTGACCGTGTGCATTCAGCTTAGCGAGTCGGATAAAACTATGAAGGTCAGCATCAATGGTGAATCTCGTCGAACCCTAGGCTACTGATTCTAGAGAAGTATGTGACGCTACATTATATTGGCACGCAAAACTTACTGATTAGTAGTAATCAGACCGTATTTAGTGTTAAAACACGTGCAATATGACTTCACTAAATTGATTTATGTCATCAAAAACGTAACAGAATTCCTTGTTCATGATGGGCTATGGCTCATTGATTTTGGCAGTTGACTTATAACCAGTGGGTCACGGACATGAACCCCGCTTCACCCACCAGGGTGTGGGCGGGCAGATGGTATCATTAACCCTCACACAATCGATGTGGCTTATTACCTACTGTACGAACAAACCCAAGGTTGTTGAATGGCTTTCGTTTCCTTCATGATCACTAGATAGTATCTTTTATGTTAGTTAACTTGATGGCTGTAGCATACGCAATGTATGTATTCGGAGGAGACCGAACTTGTTAGAAAAGGTAGTTTTATGTATTTGATACGATTGGTATGGGTAGAATATCTTTGCTGGTTTCGATATTTATCGAGTAGATTTTAAAATAAATACATTTATCTTGAGAAAATTCGGTCTGTTACAGATATCTAAATTTATGTTTACTTTTTAAAACAACTAATGAGTATAAATAATTCATTTTTTTTAAGAAGAGGGATCTTGTTTTCATCTTACCAACAGCCCGAAAAAGATTTTTGTTCAACAATGATGACTACAGAATGAAACCTAATCTGTATTAATTCTGTTTGCGAAATGATAAGCTGTGGTTAAAAATATTTTGCGGCGACTGAACTTATTGTTTTAACTGGTTGGATTTACTCTCAGGAGGAATCGTGAGTAAGAATCTATCAGATTTTGAATGTTTTTCTATGAGTTGCTTTCGGCGCATTCTTAAGATTAAAACTAGTAACTTAACATTTAGGTGTTGGATTCCACGGAAGATTTAAATCTTTCTTCTTAATCGTAATATATGTACCTGAATGGTCAATTAGGTCTTACATTCACAGTATTTCAGTAACCCCTTTGTAATAAAACGACAGCTATTCTCGTGTAGACTGTTTTAAAGTTGTGCCAAATAAAGTGATATTTTCGTGTTTATTTTCAAGAAAATATAAATTTACAGAGCATAAAACCTTTAACTTGTTTCCTTAAATGAGAGCTTTGCAAATAAATCTTATTTACCTATTTAAAGCGTTTTCTTTTACCCTCAAAAGTCATTGACTCAAAGAACTTATAACTCCACCTAATGTTTCTAATACTTAAGGACACCGTTTTCTGCAGCTTGATGTGTGAATCCTCTTATTACGAAATGGTTTATTTTGCAGTATTATCTACTCGGAGAAGTGGATGGTTTCATGTTAACAGAGTAGAAAACGCTATCAGCTGCTCTTTTTACTTATAGATCCAATTCACTGCATAGATATAATCTAAATAGGTGTGGCACAATAACTTCAATTATAATTATAATAGATCATCACTTACCTATTAGTAGTTGGAAAGCTTGTCTTCCAAATCGTTATTTGTGAATAAGTTGTTAGAGATATAAGTGCAAAAGAATGTAGGTTTATAGGTTTTACCAGTGTTTATTTACACTGAATTTTATTGTACAGTTACAGAGCACTTAACCGCAACTCGCGCTAATGCAAAGTGCTACAGACCTATGTAATATATTATGTAACAGCTCGCAGTACTACTCAATTACACAAGTCGAAATAAGCTTCAGAGCACTTCCCAGCTGTAATTCATCTTGAGACATATTACTTACCGGTTACTATTGTTTTAACGCTACGCAAACAATAGGTTCAGTCGGTTGGGTGCGTGTTGTACTGAACTTAGTTTTATTTAATTGTCATTTGTCATCATGTGCTATTATCTTTTCAGGTATTTATTTAGACGATGAACGGTTATTACTTACAAGTATGGATGGTTATTTAATGCATGCCAGTGTTGATTCAATCTCTAACTGTAAGTATCTCAGTGATGTACTGTGAGTTCATTTGGTAAAAGACATGTAAGCGAACAATATTATTGTCAATCAGATCCTCTTCCGGCTTTACTGCAATATAAATAATTAAACATATATAAAAATTAAACTGATCATATAGATTTTTCAGTTAATGATAACTGTTTTAAAATAACGATGGTGATAATAATAAAAGTGATAACGTTGACAGTCATAGCGACAGTGTAAACTAAAACAGTCGTGATACTGATAATAATGATGAGATTCAAGAAAACAGCATGATAATGTAGACATTCTGATAATGAAACTGGATCAAAAGCTTGGAAATACATATATATTAAAGTCTGAAGGGAATCTTCCTTAAAACAGTTTTTCATTTTCTGTTCGAATTTACAAGATAGAAACTTTTAAAATTCCTAATTTTATTTCGTGTCGATTCAAAGAGTCTATCTACTTTCATAAATTGTTTGTCTTACAAACAACATGACGTTATTTCAACCTTTATAAATACACTGTTCTTTACACTTACCTGACGTTTATATAACGTTCATAGTTAATTCAAATGTTTATGAATCTAACTGAAACCTAGCTTTTTAATCATATCTGCCGTCCCCCTTCGTGAAACATTTCAAGCCAAAATATTTAACGTGACAGGCATCCAGACCATAGATATTACGAATGTACTAGAAAAAGTTGATCTCCGAGTCTGATTTAATTTAATCTCAAGGAGTGTAAAAAATCAGATTTTTCTATGCTCCAATCGAATTTATCAATATTCAAGCATATTAAATAAAACGAAAGCTGAAACATGCAAATTACTTCAACAATAAAACTCAGACTTGGAAATGCAATATCGTATTCATTACTTCATAAAACGAATACAGCTGCTAGAATCTGCATTATTAATACTATCATCATCTGTCCCCTGGATTCCTAGTGAAACATAGGGCTTCAGTAGCACGTCTCCCTTTCACTCTCTTCTCTGCAGTCTTTTGAACCTGGCTCCACCACTCCCAGCCCACAAGCTTTCATTTCTTCCTCGCACCATCTCCTCATTGTCACCCTCACCGCAGACGCCCAACTCGTCGTTCCCATTTTGGATTCCACTCGACAGTCTGGCCTGGCGCCAGTGTTTGTCCAATCCAATCGATCTCCACTTTCTTCTTCTGCATATTTTTTTGGGCGATACCTTGTTGTTTGATTCGTTGCCAGCCAGCCAGCCAGCCAGCCAGCCAGCCGACCTGTTCCGCTCTTAATTTTGAATGCAGAGCATATTTTGTTCTCTCCAGGATGATGGGGCTTAATTTTTGCTTTGGGTGGACAGGAGCCTGATTCTGCGCTAGTTCTCGCAAAGACTTAGGTCACCCTTATTTGGGAGTTTGACAAAGCAGCCCTTCTCCCAACCAATGGGCAGTTACTTTTCCTCCCTTCCAAACCTTTTGCAATTGTGGTGTGGTGTGAGCATGTTTACTGTTGTCTGTGCGTCTGTTTTCAGTAGTTGTGGAGGAACTCCATCTGGTCCTGCTGCTTTCCCGGAATTCAGCAGCTTTATGGCGTTCACGACTTCTGCTTTTGTCGGAGGGCTTGTGTTCATTGATAGTTCTGTGGCTGGGCTGTGAGGGGTGTTTCTGGACGAGTTGCAGTTGCAGTTGGTGGTGGTGGTCGACTCAAGAGTTTTTTGAAGTTGTCAGCTCATCGTTTCCTTTGCTTCTCCTCTTTGGTAACTAGGTTTCCTTCACTGTCTTTCATTGGTTTCATCTGCGTTGATCTCTTTGCAGATAGTAACCTGGTTATTTGATATAGTGTTGCCAGGTCTCTCCTACCAGTCTGCAGGCTGTTCTGCTTCACTTGCAAGTGTGTCGTAGAAGTGTCTTTTGTCTTTGCGCGCACTCTTCTTCACCTCTTTGTCCAGTGTAGTGTTTCACATGTTGTATTCAGTTCCTCGTTTCGTCGTTCATCCCTACACTACACTGCACTGGTTCGTCTTCTGCTTCACCATCTTCGTCTCCATGCTCTATCAGCTTCCATGTGTCTGTCGAGATCCATACCTTGTCTTGCCTCCTCCTCCTTCTTCTTCCTTCCTAACACGGTTATGCAGGTTTCCTTCCACATCTTTTTCACAGAGTTCCAGTGTTCTTCCACACAGGTTTCTTCAGGGATGTTGCCTAGTGTCTCCCATTTTTCCCTGATGACTGATTGATGTGAAGATGTCCTTTGTAGTTTCGTCCTTCAGTTCGGTTTCTGTTCTGGGTGTTGAACTTCAACTGTGGTCTATCACCAACTTCTTTGAAGGCTTTCAACTTGATTTTGAAGGTAGGCTCCTTGCACTAGATAGTGAGTGGTGTGAACCTACCTCTGTTCCTCTTCGTGATCTGATCTTGTGTCCAGTAGGCTGACTGCGTCTCCACTTTCTTCACACTGAGATGAAATCGATCTGATTTTTAGTGTGTCCATCTGGTGAAATCCATGTCGCTTTGTGAATATCCTCCAATCACCGAATCGTTGAATGCGTAGAATTCTGCAAACAATTCTCCATTCTCATTCATCATTTCACCGAGTGGTTCACAACCCATGATTGGTTCTCTTTCTGTGTTGTCCGCTCACAGTTTCGCATTCATGTCACCCCAACCATTAGAATTTTGATGTCTCCAATTGAGGTAGTGTCTTGTCCATTACTGATTGCAGTTGTCTGTCGAATCCCTCCTTCCTCTCTTGATCTACATTATTTGTAGGTGAACAGTTTAGCATTGTATGATTGTGACTTTCTTTCCTTTTGAGTTGAACATTGCTGTCATGATCCTGCAGGAGGAGATTGGTTCCATTGCCTGAGATCCTTTGACGGTGTTGGGGAGATTATGATAGCCACTCGAAAACTCAGTGTGCTGGTTCGTGGTTGTCGTCTGGGTGACAATATCGGAGTAGATTATTGATTCTCCAGTTGACAGTTTGGAGAGTCCACTTCCATGCTGTCTGCAGATTCCTAGCACTTCGATGCTACACGATATTTCAGAAAGAAAGTTTTGAATAAGGGTGTATGGAAAGATGTAAATGAATGCTAGTTTCGATGGGATTATTTTGCTCACTTATTTTCCAATATGTGATTGTTTACTTCTTTTAAGAAATGGACTGAATAACAGCGAAGATTTGTTGTCTGAACGTCCTCTTCCAACTGAAGAAATTATAAAATCGTTAAACACTCACACTTGCGATTCACATATTTCGCCTTTAGAAAACGTGTGTGCAGTGGGTTAATAGCAGTTTAAATTGATTCACCAGCATCTGCAGTTGTGGCGAAGCTTTGCATTAAAGCTCTGAGAGAGTATTAAATAGCTTCCGACGCTAACCCTTGATTTCGTCTAGATATATGGATGGTACTTTTGTCATTAAGAAGAAAGTAAATCAATGGGCTTTTTGGGAAAATATAAATTCTGTTCCAGAGTCCATAAATTTACTCATGAAATAGAATCTGAGGACGTTTTGGATTGTCTTATCCAAAGAGCGAGTGGAGGGAAATGACCTATGTGTACTAAATATTTAATGTTCTATTTGGCTATATGTTTTGATATCGATAAAAATCTGATTATTCTGCTGAAGAAGCTTACGTGACAAAATGTTCGGAAAAATCTTGTTTTGATTTTTTAAACACGTTGGAATTGTATTAGAGTATGCTATTATAAAGTTTTATTTCTTGAATATCCTTTAATTCCCGTGAAGATAACGAGCTAGAAAATGAACAATTTTTGTGGTTCTCAGTAATCATTATTGTTTTCCCACTCATCACGGGAATATTATCCTGCCTAATGTATCACTGAGGTATGACCTCCGTAAATTCTCGTTACAGAAAAATTCTTCAAATTTTTGTTTATTGCGTTAAGTAGATTGTTTATACCTGAATAACCTCTCCTTACAATGGTTATCAATTGATGTTTTCATATTATGGACCATTATTATTTATTATTACTTCTTTACACAACCATGTGAACTTGTATTAAGAAAGCATTACTTTTCTTCATCTCCACTGGGTCTTTCTTTGCGCACTTTTGATTTAGGTGAGCTGAATTGGCGAGTTGTTTGGTGCAGTTCTACATACGAGAAATCAGATGTAATTCATTGGGAATTTCATGGATTATTTGTTTCGATGAATGGAGTTTACATCTGCTTCCTTGAAAAGTAAAATTTTCGTTGGGTTTGATGCACCAAAAGTTTTTCAGGTGTAATTTATTTTGTTTTTGATGTTTAGCACCTGTATTATTCATTTTATTAGATACCAGGGTTATGTGCAACTTATTATTATTATGATGTCATTGGAAGTATGGTACATTCGGATGTGTGGATTGTTTGTGAAAAATGCTTTGCTACACCAAAAACAGTATTTTCATTGATATAGGAGTAAAACTTAAGCACTGTGGTGAGATATAAATCCATTTTAACTTATTTATTAGATATATCGCACAGTGGGACATCATTATTTTCTGAATTACGTTTCGGACACAATTTATTATTCACAGTCACATCAAGATATCTCCACAGCAGTGAGACATGGTTTATGTAGTTCTAATTTTCTCGCCTCCACTGGGATATAGGTAATAGGATTTCTCATAGATCCGGAATAAGTGCTGAGTCATTCCCCCTGCATATACTTGGTATTGTTTCGACAAACAAAGATTCGGTTATTAATCTACTCCTCTACTCCATTAAGTTAGCTTTAAGTATTGTAACTCTGTCCCATCCAGTTGTGTGGTTGCATGTAATTGCATACATAGCCGTAGTTGAGCTTTTTTCTAGATTCTTTATCTTACTAAGATCTACCAATTTTGATTTATTTAGGTTTTTGTCAGTTAGGCTCTCCGAGCACAGAATCGGTCATGTAGTTACTGAAACCAGTCGGTGATAATTATCCTCATATCTAGCAAATGAAAAAGACAAGCTAACGTAGAACCGTACACGGCAATCAATCAGTTTAGGTTACGACACTTCCGCTAACCACCATCCACTTACACGAATTTGTATTTAGTCGGAGCAGAAAACACCTCTTTAAGTCTAAAGTGAGCTAAAACAACAAGTTCTGGTGGTTTACCCTCCTAGCAACATGTACTAATTTCGAAGAAAAACTTGACGTTCATATGGTGCCTGGTTAACTAGTTCACTAGTTGCTAGCCGGTCCTAAGCCCGGGTAAAGAAGGAGGGTTGAGCATAGGGCTAGCAACCCTACCCCGGAAAACCGATACAACCGCTAGAGAAACTTCGTACCACAGACAAAATATAAAAACTAATAACAAAATTATTCCTCAATGGAATCGGAGAGCCGAAATAATGCCTGCTGATGAAACCTTCACGAAGCCAATTGGCGAAAGTGTCTTCGCTCGACTAGAACGAAAGTAAGTGTCGGCATATGCAATGTGCTCACTATCCTTGAACCTAGCAAGGCTGCCGAGATTGCAAAGGAGATGATAAGGTGTAGCATCGAAGTGCTAGGAATCTGCAGACAGCATGGAAGTGGACTCTCCAAACTGTCAACTGGAGAATCAATAATCTACTCCGATATTGTCACCCAGACGACAACCACGAACCAGCACACTGAGTTTTCGAGTGGCTATCATAATCTCCCCAACACCGTCAAAGGATCTCAGGCAATGGAACCAATCTCCTCCTGCAGGATCATGACAGCAATGTTCAACTCAAAAGGAAAGAAAGTCACAATCATACAATGCTAAACTGTTCACCTACAAATAATGTAGATCAAGAGAGGAAGGAGGGATTCGACAGACAACTGCAATCAGTAATGGACAAGACACTACCTCAATTGGAGACATCAAAATTCTAATGGTTGGGGTGACATGAATGCGAAACTGTGAGCGGACAACACAGAAAGAGAACCAATCATGGGTTGTGAACCACTCGGTGAAATGATGAATGAGAATGGAGAATTGTTTGCAGAATTCTACGCATTCAACGATTCGGTGATTGGAGGATATTCACAAAGCGACATGGATTTCACCAGATGGACACACTAAAAATCAGATCGATTTCATCTCAGTGTGAAGAAAGTGGAGACGCAGTCAGCCTACTGGACACAAGATCAGATCACGAAGAGGAACAGAGGTAGGTTCACACCACTCACTATCTAGTGCAAGGAGCCTACCTTCAAAATCAAGTTGAAAGCCTTCAAAGAAGTTGGTGATAGACCACAGTTGAAGTTCAACACCCAGAACAGAAACCGAACTGAAGGACGAAACTACAAAGGACATCTTCACATCAATCAGTCATCAGGGAAAAATGGGAGACACTAGGCAACATCCCTGAAGAAACCTGTGTGGAAGAACACTGGAACTCTGTGAAAAAGATGTGGAAGGAAACCTGCATAACCGTGTTAGGAAGGAAGAAGAAGGAGGAGGAGGCAAGACAAGGTATGGATCTCGACAGACACATGGAAGCTGATAGAGCATGGAGACGAAGATGGTGAAGCAGAAGACGAACCAGTGCAGTGTAGTGTAGGGATGAACGACGAAACGAGGAACTGAATACAACATGTGAAACACTACACTGGACAAAGAGGTGAAGAAGAGTGCGCGCAAAGACAAAAGACACTTCTACGACACACTTGCAAGTGAAGCAGAACAGCCTGCAGACTGGTAGGAGAGACCTGGCAACACTATATCAAATAACCAGGTTACTATCTGCAAAGAGATCAACGCAGATGAAACCAATGAAAGACAGTGAAGGAAACCTAGTTACCAAAGAGGAGAAGCAAAGGAAACGATGAGCTGACAACTTCAAAAAACTCTTGAGTCGACCACCACCACCAACTGCAACTGCAACTCGTCCAGAAACACCCCTCACAGCCCAGCCACAGAACTATCAATGAACACAAGCCCTCCGACAAAAGCAGAAGTCGTGAACGCCATAAAGCTGCTGAATTCCGGGAAAGCAGCAGGACCAGATGGAGTTCCTCCACAACTACTGAAAACAGACGCACAGACAACAGTAAACATGCTCACACCACACCACAATTGCAAAAGGTTTGGAAGGGAGGAAAAGTAACTGCCCATTGGTTGGGAGAAGGGCTGCTTTGTCAAACTCCCAAATAAGGGTGACCTAAGTCTTTGCGAGAACTAGCGCAGAATCAGGCTCCTGTCCACCCAAAGCAAAAATTAAGCCCCATCATCCTGGAGAGAACAAAATATGCTCTGCATTCAAAATTAAGAGCGGAACAGGTCGGCTGGCTGGCTGGCTGGCTGGCTGGCTGGCTGGCTGGCAACGAATCAAACAACAAGGTATCGCCCAAAAAAATATGCAGAAGAAGAAAGTGGAGATCGATTGGATTGGACAAACACTGAGGCCGATCGGGGACATCACGCGCCAGGCCAGACTGTCGAGTGGAATCCAAAATGGGAACGACGAGTTGGGCGTCTGCGGTGAGGGTGATAATGAGGAGATGGTGCGAGGAAGAAATGAAAGCTTGTGGGCTGGGAGTGGTGGAGCCAGGTTCAAAAGACTGCAGAGAAGAGAGTGAAATGGAGACGTGCCACTGAAGCCCTATGTTTCACTAGGAATCCAAGAGGCAAGGATGATAATAATATTTTTTTAATGTGTGTGCTAGAATTTAATTAATGTGTCTCCATTCCACTTCACTTTACAGACCGTGCAACTATTTAGATAACAGTCGTTCACGACGTGGAGCTCTGCTTTCATCTCGGGTTAGTCTTTTTTTGTGTTGTTTTTGGTGCATATACGCGTCTTAAGAGGCCAGCTTTTGACATTGTACTGTTTGCGGTAATTAGTAGGATTGAAGTATTGATTAAGAACAACGTATGGTAGTAGCGGACCTCACCGTATTTTATGAGAAAATCTATGAAGTGAAGCAAACGTCGTTTTTCAATAAATGTTTCAAAACCATTAGTAGAAATCGTTTTTGTGCTACTTGGTTGAATACCGAAACACCTATTTGAAAATGGAAATAGAAAAAGACGCTTATGTCTTTCAGACAAAGACAGAGGTGCATGGGTTCAATGTACCGCATTTCGTAGTCGTATGCAAGCACGAATTGGATCGAAAAAGTGACATTATTGTAGATAAATGTGAGTGGTATGACGAGAAAAGTATGCGGGTTAACAAACTTTCTAAAACTTTTGAGACGACAAGGTTGATACACATTTGCACTATTGTGACTAGTTTTGAACCATGTCTCCAAGATGCCCCAACCAATGATACTTACTGTCTCCATAACCTCAGCGAGATAGCCTACACCTCTTTACATGACTCATACTAGCGCTCTTGAAATTCATGAACTGGTGCCACTTTTCTGTCAGGTCACCCTCTGCTTTCTTCCAACCTAATTTTACTTCAGCTGACAGATGAAATGTGGCAAGTATTGGACACCTTAAATTGTCGGTGTTCCAGGATCTATGGAAAGTTAAAGATTTGATCGATACACCCTCTTCTATATCTGAAACTTGTTCAGTCTTCTGGAGTTGTTGCCGAACACTGCCTAGGTGTTGTATAGCTTTGGACTCTGGGATATTAGATTTGATGTTAATCAAACTTATCCTTCCAGGGTTGTTATATGAAAACTTCTCTCTTATTTTACAAACTGGGGTGGTCAACGACTTATTCCAGTTAGAGGGGACTACCTTTGATTTGTAGCCCTCATTTTTGAAAACTTCCGATAGAAAACCATTAGGTTCTGCTGCAGCTTTGAAGCAACCTCTTAAACTTCAGTGTGAGTTGGAGAACTGACTTCTAGTTTCTATCCAGGTTTTGGTTGGATGTTGGACAACAGAATCTTGGCTGTAAGGCAGGTGGATTGTTCTTCAACGTTTCAGCTGTATGTCATTAGAGTTTATCACCGATCCATTCTTTTCAGTGATGGTCTCACTAACCATCGTCTTATCATTTTCCACAATAAACCGAAATAACTGTTAAATGATACCTAATACGGGTACCTTTTCAATAGCCTTCACCACTCGCCAATGTCTGCTATCATCGCGAATACTCAGTCAATTCTCGCTTAGGCTGTTTTCGCTCCACATTGTGGTGACTGCCAGCTTGAATGAGTCGTCTCACACCAATCATTTCAGATGATGTCAGGAACTAACTGACTTCTGTTAACCTTTGGGTGTAGACTGCCAACTGTTTACTGGTGTTTCTACAGCAAACTGAATATCACTGCAGGCTTCATCAGAAAGTGGATTACTGTCCTGTCCAGATGTATACCTGGCTACCTCCTTCCTAAATACGCTCTTGATGTTCTCATCTTCCGGTCGATCACGTAATTGTCTCACTGCTGTGTGTATCCTACACCTGTTAGAGTACAAACATACACGTGCCCCCACTGTCAACTGATTGGACTATAGATTGGTACTCTGGAAATGGCGGCATTTCCCCATGCATCCTCTTCAACGATGGCTATTGGGAGCATGTCGGGATTTAGAACTTCCCAGGGCAGTTGGAAATTTTAAGTTTTTCGTTTTGAGTTCACTTACAAAATCCCCACCACCGGTGGCAGAATACCAAAGAGTAGAAGGGTGAGTGTACTACTTTAGGATTGGTCTTTTTTACACCACCTTTTCCCATACAGAAACCAGCATCAGTATGATCTGCCCGTCATCTATGAGAAATACATTACTGCTGTCACATCCTGTTCAGACGACAGTGTGACTCTGCCCACATACTTCATCATAACTTGAACTACTTACTCTATAATGGTGGATGTTTTTGTCTAACTCCACTATCCACCAGATCATTTTGGCATATTAGGAGCTCAAGGAACAAATGGTCTAGTCAGCATATTTTATTGTGTCACTGCAGTATACAAGCTCAACCATCACTTCACGGTAGCTGCTATCGGTTGGGTTATCTGGACCTTGATTGGAACTTCTCAATGACTTCTCTAAGGAAATATTCACCTGGCCCGATTATAGGTACTTTGCAAAATTAGTATCTAGACAACTGTAATGAGATACTATTACTTCTTTGCTTTTGAGCATGTTTCTGATATCCTTTTAAAACACGTTAATTGAGGGAAAAAGGGAGTGAAATGGTCTTCAGTTTCACGCGTCCGAAAATATTTATTAACGAAATTGGATAACATTTCAGTGTATTAAGTATCACTTTCTGCTACTAAGTTCCTACTTATCGGTATTTTATGAAGAACCTGAGGAAACTAATTTCAGCCACGTTTATGACTGACATTGACAAAGATGCATTCAGTCATGTTTGATAATGAGGTCTATATGAATAAGGGATATAAGGTTCTCATCCACATTTACATTATTTGCGCTGTTCGTTTTCGCGTGCACTTTCACCCATACCAACGTCTTATATCCTCATTATCCAACTCTTTTGCAGTAGTAGGAGTTAGCGAATCACTTCTTCAGTAGTGTTAGCTTGAGTAGAATCATGCAATTTTCTTTAGTGAAGATTGAAATAAATATTTACTTGATGTATCACCTTTGTTGATTTAATTTTCTAAATTTGTCTTGCCGGTGATAATCATTCCTTTCGCTGTTCTTCATATTGATGAATAAATTCTGCATCCTAATTAACACTTCACCTTTTTATCCATAGGTTCGCTTTTTATCTTTTTGGTCGAATGATGACTTACAAAAACTTGCGTTTAATCCTGAGCCACCTCTAAATCGTAAAGTGGATTGCTTACAAGAATTACTACAAAGATGGTATGTTACAGAAGACAAAGATGATGGTATGATTGACAATACAGATCTACGACAGTTATGTCTACAGAAAATTGATTTTCCCCAAGCTTGTATAACGGGCTCATCACTTCCCCATACTTGGTTAGAAAAACCACTCACAACACTACAACTGTACAGGTATTTGTCGACGTTGTTCACATTGTGTGTAAAATCTCTACTGTTACCGTTTGTCGTAATTAACTATGTTCTATCTCATAGTAATATAATGGAATGGCTAAATTATTAATACTTGACTAAATAGATGCACCGAAGCTTGCCGATTGCAAAACTTGCAGCTTCTGTAATCTACTGTAGAATGAGTCGGTATTTAACATTGGTGATAATTTTTTGAGAATAAGAAGTATTTTCCCAGTTTTTAAAAAATACTTCTAAGTGTATTGGTTCATAAATACCAAACTTAGCAGATTTAGGCAACTCCTGTTTGGTTTAACTGTATCACTAACATATTTTTCTCGGCTACAGTGAAGTTTTACGACTTGGACGGATACACTTGTGTCAGTTTCTCTGTTTATTTGTCTGGCTGCGTATATCTGTGTATCTGTATATTTTTGGGAGTTGAGAAAAATCCTCGAAATGATAAAAATGAAAACTTGTTGTTTCAGCACCGTTTACGTTTATAAAAATTGCTTGACGGAGTATGCATTTCTAACACGTTTCAGCCGATGAAGATTCACAACCTCATCAGTTGACTTACCTCTTAGCGAGGACCATACGCATAACCTGTACCTTACGAACTTGTTGGTTCCAAAGCACACAGATATGCTACTAAGGCAACGGTGTTTGAGTACCTTGAGCTGTTTCACATCCATCGAGGATGACAAAGCGAAGTACTGCACAGTACAATCGACCCTGATAGGCAGTCGGATATCTCCCCGGTGTTAGCACATGTTCACTGTGTAACTCCAAGCATAACCTATGCATCAACTGTTGAGTTGAAGTTTTTTTATTTGGTTTTTTCAGACAATATTTTGATATATATCCTCAATTACTGCTGGCTAGAAATAGGTAGTTGTCTGCGCATACATATAGCAGGCGATTGCCATTGTCTGCTTCTGATCCCTGGCGGTGTAGGGTGTGTACCGTTGGAAGTCCTATACTAGGAAGAAACACCTGTCCAGCGCTACCGAGTTCCCAGTGGTTCTTAAAATGATATCAGTCTGTGATCAATACCACCTTCAAATCAATGAATCCACAAAAACCTTCAAACAGAATTTATTTTTCTCATAGGTAATGTCATTATGGAATAAACAGAAGAATATTATTTTGGTCCTCGTGTATACTTCATGTGAATAGTTTCGGTAATCCTTAACGAGTCACCTTGTATTTTATTATTATTATTTGTCCCTTGGATTACTAGTGAAACATAGGGCTTCAGTGGCACGTCTCCATTTCACTCTCTTCTCTGCAGTCTTTTGAACCTGGCTCCACCACTCCCAGCCCACAAGCTTTCATTTCTTCCTCGCACCATCTCCTCATTATCACCCTCACCGCAGACGCCCAACTCGTCGTTCCCATTTTGGATTCCACTCGACAGTCTGGCCTGGCGCGTGATGTCCCCGATCGGCCTCAGTGTTTGTCCAATCCAATCGATCTCCACTTTCTTCTTCTGCATATTTTTTTGGGCGATACCTTGTTGTTTGATTCGTTGCCAGCCAGCCAGCCAGCCAGCCAGCCAGCCAGCCAGCCAGCCAGCCAGCCAGCCAGCCAGCCAGCCAGCCAGCCAGCCAGCCAGCCAGCCAGCCAGCCAGCCAGCCAGCCAGCCAGCCAGCCAGCCAGCCAGCCAGCCAGCCAGCCAGCCGACCTGTTCCGCTCTTAATTTTGAATGCAGAGCATATTTTGTTCTCTCCAGGATGATGGGGCTTAATTTTTGCTTTGGGTGGACAGGAGCCTGATTCTGCGCTAGTTCTCGCAAAGACTTAGGTCACCCTTATTTGGGAGTTTGACAAAGCAGCCCTTCTCCCAACCAATGGGCAGTTACTTTTCCTCCCTTCCAAACCTTTTGCAATTGTGGTGTGGTGTGAGCATGTTTACTGTTGTCTGTGCGTCTGTTTTCAGTAGTTGTGGAGGAACTCCATCTGGTCCTGCTGCTTTCCCGGAATTCAGCAGCTTTATGGCGTTCACGACTTCTGCTTTTGTCGGAGGGCTTGTGTTCATTGATAGTTCTGTGGCTGGGCTGTGAGGGGTGTTTCTGGACGAGTTGCAGTTGCAGTTGGTGGTGGTGGTCGACTCAAGAGTTTTTTGAAGTTGTCAGCTCATCGTTTCCTTTGCTTCTCCTCTTTGGTAACTAGGTTTCCTTCACTGTCTTTCATTGGTTTCATCTGCGTTGATCTCTTTGCAGATAGTAACCTGGTTATTTGATATAGTGTTGCCAGGTCTCTCCTACCAGTCTGCAGGCTGTTCTGCTTCACTTGCAAGTGTGTCGTAGAAGTGTCTTTTGTCTTTGCGCGCACTCTTCTTCACCTCTTTGTCCAGTGTAGTGTTTCACATGTTGTATTCAGTTCCTCGTTTCGTCGTTCATCCCTACACTACACTGCACTGGTTCGTCTTCTGCTTCACCATCTTCGTCTCCATGCTCTATCAGCTTCCATGTGTCTGTCGAGATCCATACCTTGTCTTGCCTCCTCCTCCTTCTTCTTCCTTCCTAACACGGTTATGCAGGTTTCCTTCCACATCTTTTTCACAGAGTTCCAGTGTTCTTCCACACAGGTTTCTTCAGGGATGTTGCCTAGTGTCTCCCATTTTTCCCTGATGACTGATTGATGTGAAGATGTCCTTTGTAGTTTCGTCCTTCAGTTCGGTTTCTGTTCTGGGTGTTGAACTTCAACTGTGGTCTATCACCAACTTCTTTGAAGGCTTTCAACTTGATTTTGAAGGTAGGCTCCTTGCACTAGATAGTGAGTGGTGTGAACCTACCTCTGTTCCTCTTCGTGATCTGATCTTGTGTCCAGTAGGCTGACTGCGTCTCCACTTTCTTCACACTGAGATGAAATCGATCTGATTTTTAGTGTGTCCATCTGGTGAAATCCATGTCGCTTTGTGAATATCCTCCAATCACCGAATCGTTGAATGCGTAGAATTCTGCAAACAATTCTCCATTCTCATTCATCATTTCACCGAGTGGTTCACAACCCATGATTGGTTCTCTTTCTGTGTTGTCCGCTCACAGTTTCGCATTCATGTCACCCCAACCATTAGAATTTTGATGTCTCCAATTGAGGTAGTGTCTTGTCCATTACTGATTGCAGTTGTCTGTCGAATCCCTCCTTCCTCTCTTGATCTACATTATTTGTAGGTGAACAGTTTAGCATTGTATGATTGTGACTTTCTTTCCTTTTGAGTTGAACATTGCTGTCATGATCCTGCAGGAGGAGATTGGTTCCATTGCCTGAGATCCTTTGACGGTGTTGGGGAGATTATGATAGCCACTCGAAAACTCAGTGTGCTGGTTCGTGGTAGTCGTCTGGGTGACAATATCGGAGTAGATTATTGATTCTCCAGTTGACAGTTTGGAGAGTCCACTTCCATGCTGTCTGCAGATTCCTAGCACTTCGATGCTACACCTTATCATCTCCTTTGCCCTACTAGTTACCTTGTCAGCCATCTTGAAGGAATGTGTGGACGTTATATGTCTTGATGTTTGTTTTTGTTCCGGTTGTGAGAAGAAGCAACTTATTGGTCATTTTTTTCCTTTAGTTTTCATCAAAGGCCGTTATTTTTATCTCCCCGATTGCTTGAGGAATGTTTAATAAAGTATTTTCTTTGTGTTTTGCAATTTCTTTCACTGTTGTGTTGGTTTTGCCCGGGGTATTGTTGCTAGGCTTGCACGTAGCCTTCCCTCTTATGCGCACTTTGGAATGAGTAGCAAACTTTTTAAGGAGTATACTTGCTTTGATTCACTTTATGTTATTCGTGTTATTTCTTAAATGATATACTTTGACGTAATAGTGTTACTCTCAAAGAATTTATAGTTGTGGAAAAATATATGCTTCGGATGTTGCCGCTGTCCATTATTGTGTAGTATTGAAGTTGTGAGAACTCCTTTCAACATGTGCATGTTTGTCTGAGAATTATTTTTTTTTGCTTAGTAACCGTAGGGTCCATCTGTAACGCTCTACTTTGTTTCATCTCCTAGGTTGATTCTGTGCATGCTTGTCAAGGACACTGACGATTCAATTAAAGTAAGTTCAGCTTCTTTATGTGCATCAACTGATATATTTTCTACCCTCATTATTATGACGGTAGTAATATTGATTTCTCAAATGGTGCTTCTGATTATATTATTTTTTATTCAGTCGTGTGCACAACTTTGGCTAGTTAATGTGGATCAGCTTATTCAACAGCGTCATTTAGAACGCTGTTTTCGTTTGTTTCTTCAGTCCTCCGTACAAAGACAAGCACGTGGTAGGTTTAACTTTCAGTTTAACTGAATTTGGCAGTTTTATTTTGTAATTTAAAAGTAGAAGTGATATTTAGGATAAATTCTCTATATACTGTGCTATAATTAGTTTATCCCATTCTATTTTCTTAAGGTGATTGTGAAGTAAATTCCGTGATAACTTCTGGTAGTGATCATCTTCAAGATAAAAATGATCTTGATTGTTTTCCCGTGATTAGAGTTGTCTTTAACACTAAATTTTATTTGAAACTTCATATCAGCGTTGTGAGACAGTAAGTAACCTTGCATACTTTTTTATCGAACAAACTGGCATCTAACTTTTTTCTCCATCATCATTTCGGATGTCTTGGGTTTGTGTCTTATTATGTCTACGCATTCATAGTGAATTTGTGAAACTATTCATTGTTGATGTAGATAGTTAACTTCCCACTTCTTTTTAGGTGGTCAGCAAATATGATGTCCTCTCACATTTTGTTGCTACTTCATGAAATCAGTGGGTCATGTGGCAACGTGTAGGCTTTCTCGTTAGGGTCTGTGAGACAACAGAAATCAGTGGTTGATGACTTTGTTTTCTGCGGTTAATAATCATTTGCAGTAGAGCTGTGACTTATTACTGTAGGTAGTTGACTTTCAACTATCGTATCTTGAGTCTGAACCCTATTGCGTGTATCTGAGGTTCGGAGGACCAGATAGTTTAATCAGCCCTTATACAAAATAAGTGTGACTCATTACTTGTTGCATAAACCTTCAAGTTGTTTTTGAGTTATATTGGTTTATAACTCTCGGTTTCGCAGATGAGAATGTTCCTTTTTTTCCAGATCTTGAAAATCCTGCTACTTATGTATCTTCTATTGTCACTTGACTTTTTCTCTTATCATCTCACTCATCACTGTTGATACTATAGATTCCATTTAGTTGTCTTCCTTTAAGCTTTTTCGCTCATTATATACTAGTTTGAAGTGAGGAAGCTTGGGTTGATGTCCAAATATCCCAAGGATATGGTGTATATGTTCTGCTGACTTCTCTACTTGACGTGCTGGGCATATTTCGAATTAGTTGGAGATTTTAAGTGACATAACCGGAAGATGTATCCATCTTTTTTTAGTATTTATTTTAAAAATCGTCTATCCGTATTCCTTTAATCTCCATTAGTGCCATAAGTGTTTGTAAACGTCTTTCTCCGTTTGTTGACTTAATCTTCTTCTCTGTTGTGAAGTTTGATGACTTGAACCACCAGTATAGTACGGCGTGATACGTTATTGTGAATACGTGTTTAGCTGAATTGGATGCGCTTCACTAAAGTGACGTATTTTTGATGACGTTCTGTTCATCAGATCACATGTTTACCTCATTTATTGTGATTTCATTTTCAAAGAAATATCTTTGGAATGTCTTTATTAGTGATTGCTGTAAGTTATAACAGTTATTATAGTAGTGGTTCTTTTACGTTCCCTCCAATAATAGTTGCCAGTAAATTTGTTATCTTCGTTATCAGTTCATAAGTGGAAATGATGGTGGTTATGAGAATCGAATGATTTTGTTCAATTCATGTAAATAAAAGACTTACCGTATTATTTAATACTTCTTGGTGCAGTGTTTTGTGGCTGTTAGTGCCACATATACAGCATGTGACTTCTTGTTCTACCTAATTGTCAGTTTTTAATCGCTACATATATATTTCTTATTCCATTTGCCTGTTTAAGATTGTTTGTTGGTATCGCATATGGCTACTTTAACTTCGAATGTTTTCAAGCCTAAATCGTCAGTACAACTTACTACTCCTGCTAATATAGAGAATCCTTCATCTTCTGTGAATGGTGATGTTAACAAGTCAACAGATCGTAAGCAAATATGCTTTGTGGAGGATTTACCTGAACTAGCTGAGAAAGTTCGTCAATTGGCTGTACAACTCTATGTGCATCGATTTAAATTACCAGCTGAAAATATTGTCAACCAAGCACAAACCTGTCCAATATGTAAAGAAAATATCCTTTTTTAAAGCAGTTGGACTATTGGTTTTTATGCCATGCTCATTCATGAATGATTTAGTTGCTCTCATTGGCTTTTATGTTTAGGAACTCTAGACACTTGATTAATTCTAAAAAGGCTATCGCATAAATTGATGTCAACTTAAGAGACTTTGAAATACCAAATTTATTCGAAAATTTGAGTTTTCTGGCTTGAAATACATATAATTCGAACACACGATCGGGACATGTTAGGTTAAAAGCCTACGACTAAGTTTTTCTGGTTCCAATTGCGTTGGAATTTCCATTTCAGTAGCTTATTTTTCTTCAAAGTAGCATGAAAATCGACTGATATGGTTAAGTAATTTTCCCTTTCTTTTCTATGAAGTGTATTTAGCTTGTGAAAATGAAACTAGATCTAAATTTTGACAGATATCAGAAGCACAACAGTCAATATAGGAATTAAATTACAACTGTGTGACATACTCTGTTGAATAAATAGCAGATGCAAACGTAAGTAGTAAGTTTTTGTCGTCTGGTTTATGGTGAAGACTGGTCGTGAGAACAGTTTCGATCAGGTTCACTGATAGTGTTTCTAAAGTGCAGTCGCGTTCTCTCATACACTAAGTGATATAAATTGAAAAACTATGATATATGAAATGTAAGCCAAGCTATATATGCATTGGAAATCAATTCTCACTTATGCAAGGATGTAAATTATCGTCCCATTACTTCACAAGTTCAACAATAAAAACCGATATCTCACGTACTTTTAACTTCAAATAATTCTCTGAGTATAGTACTTGATATTGGTGGAGAGAAAAAATAACGCCGTTATATTAAAATAACACCAACTAAATATTCGACAATTAGACAGCTTTGGATGGTGGTGGTTATAAAGTCTACCATTTTAATCCTACTCTGAGTAGCTGATGTCCATAAAAGTACATGGAATGAGTTACTCAGAGAGACTGCTGGTCAAAATCTAGTTGCGACAGAGATTTTGTCTCAGCATTACCTTTTGTCTGTTGTTAAGCTTAGTTGGTGTTTATATTAGGCGTTTCGTTTTGAGCATTTACAGATTTACACAGTAGTTATCCCAAATGAACTAAGCGAATTAAGATTATTTAATTTTCCGAACATCTGCAAAACTGTCACAAAACTTCACAGTAATTTCCTTAACATGAATATGTTTTTCTGTCCAGCACATGTCATTCCAGATCTAGTTTGTTCTAATTGTCCTCAAAATCATCCTCTAGGTGAGTTTTCTTCTCATACTTTTAATACTATTTTTCTGTCGAAACCATTAAGAATTGCCGACTTCATTCTGTATTTTGCTGTTTTTTTTAAAATGTAGAACGCTGTATGCAGACTCTGGAAACGTGTACCGATCCTATATTTCGGCATTGTAGTCAATGTAATCACGTAGCACTAGGTATATCTCCCCATGGTGAGTTACATTGTTGTGTTACTTCTGAATTATCTTCTCTTGTTCCTTTTTTCATTTTAACTCCAGCAATTTAGTGGAACTTTACATGCAACCAGCAAGCCTATAGTTTCCCATATGACGCAGATTAACAACTAGCAACCTCGTATGCATCATTGAAGATGAGGTCAAGTGATATCTCATAAGAATCTTGCTTAGTATTTTTGTGTGGCTTATTCGTGCTCGGAATCAGTGGTTGAATGCTTTCGGTAAGGTGTCTGGAAATCAACCACAGTGTCATACATGGGATTCACTCTGTATTGTTTGCAGATTGCTGAATATCTCATTAATCTTCACTTATTTGTTTTGTCTCGTCTCATGTGCTTCCTGTTTAAACTGCAAGACATTAATGCGCTACTTAGTTATTGTTGTTGTTGTCGCTTCATCTTTCTGTCGTTCTCTGTGCGGTTTACGATTATATTACACACTTTTTTATTACTCAAATGCGATATCCTTTAAATTTTAGTTGACTAATAAATAGTAGTTTCGATCTACATAAGGTGTAAGAACACCACTACATCCTTACAAATTGTCTTTTACGTTAATTTGCTGTTTTGTAAAGAAGAAGAAAAAATAGTAAATTTTATTTAAAACGTAATGAAGGCTAATAATTTGAATTGAATGACCTTACTGAAATCTTCTTGTCGATTTCTAAATAGGCTTTGTTTCTGGTGTATTTTCATCGTAATGAACATTAGAAGCGAGTGTAATGCTGATAGGATGAACTGCGATTATGAGGTTAAATTAATAGATCAAAGCTGCAACCTTCAGAAGGTCATGGGAAGTAGGCATACTTACCGGTAGTTGGCCTTTTCTTGACCTGAAGGCGGTGTTCAACTTCGTCAACAGAGAGGTATTATGGCAGTGTCTGATTAAAAAGAGGGTACCGCGCAATTATATAGTATTAATCAAGACTCTTTATTCGGACCCGTGGAGCTGTTTAAGGGCTCATAGGGAGTTGTCATCTGAAATGATAACCATTGGTGTCCACCAGGTATACTTACTGGTACCGTTCCTGTTCAGCTTCATTCTAAATGTATTAGTAGGCATAACCCTAAGTAACCTAGAATTCACAAAGTTTGACCTTTTTTCTGGAGGGCACCAGTTTGACTTGGAGTACTCAGAAGACAGTGTCGTGCCTTGAACAGAAACCTAAGTATGTTTGATATGCTTTCGCACTTGCGAAATGTGAGATGATGCTTCTTCCAGTCTAATGATAGTGAGTCAAGTGATGGAATACGTTGACAGCTTCACTTACTGAAGCAGTTTCATGGAGACAAATAGGTTGTTTACTGACGAAGTATGAGTTCCGATATAAAATGTCCGTTTGGTACTTGTCAACTAACGTCATCTCTAACTCAGGTGATGTATCCCATAACCAATAAAAAAGACAAGTTTAGTGTGGTGCAGTCTGCTCTGTCTTATTGGATGACTTTGAGACATGATCGTTGAAAGTGGGAGACATGAAGAGGTTATTAGTTGTGATGATAGTTGTCTTCTCACTATTTCTGACGTTTGGTGAATTCACCGTGTGATCGATACCGAGGTTGGGTGAAGAGTACCAGGCAAGAGAGGCAAATTAATCGAGGAAGTTGTGTGCGTTCACAGACTGAAGTAGATTGTACATGTGTAGCCGAGCCACCACCTTCCTCGACTTGATATGTTATCTAAAGTGGCAGCGAATTAGAAGGATTCTCCGAGTGGCCAAACGAGGACTTGGCACCAGTTGATGAAGTCTCTGATTGCATGCCTGGGTCTTATCGGTAGGTGTAGACTACCTGACTTGAATCTTCGAGATGATAGAAACCAATGTTCTGAGACTTGGTGAAACGGTTGAAAGTCTGTTTTATTGTCGCCGATGTATTCACTATTTGACACCCAAGGCTTGGACACCTTGAGTTACATATTTTGGATTCCTTCTCCTGCCATATCGTTTTATCTACTTTGATATGATTATTTTTCCACCAACTTGTTCTTAAGATGTTGCTATTGAGTACGGCAAGTTGAATAAATGTACTTGTGTGCAAGGTTCTACACTAATTTTGTCTGTCTTTCTGTCTGCTGAGATGATTTGAGTTCGAGACGACAGTATGATTCGGTACATTACACTCGAATAGAGACACAGGAAATCGATCCATGAACATCTTGATCTAAGTCTCTAACGCAGCAATTATTAAGTAAATTTAAGATAAGGAAGAATGAGTTTGCACGCGTTTATTGTTGCTCCAAGCTGTCGATGAACAGAGTAAAAGCTCTTTCGTACATTTTGCACTCGATTAGGTCAGTTTCCATATTACATTTTCAAGGGGTAATTTTATAGAGTCGTAATTAGAAATTTGTAAGTTCGAAATACCTAAAACGGTATGTTTAAAGATATTTACTTTTCTGTTTCTTAAAAGTTTATATATATATATATATATATATATATATATATATATGTATATATATGTATATATATATATATAAAGTTTTCCATCATCTTGTTTGTTCTGTTACTAGATCGTTTGTCGGCCTGGCGTTCAGTAGTACTTCATCCAATGTGTATATACTGTGACCTTTCGTTAACGTGGAAAGAATTTTAACTCTCGTATTGTGTATTATGCGATGCCTCTAACAAAACAACATGCTTATGTCTCTTTCGCATTTTTTTCTACGACGAAACATTCTTCAATTCTATTTTTTGAGCGTGTGGTACGACTATTCTACTTCATGTAATATAAAGAACAATATTTCCAACTTGATTATTTGTTTTGATTTAAAATCATTGTTTTCTTTACATGCGGGCAATGAATATATTTTGAATTAGTCTAAGTTTGAAATGACTTGTAATTAATAGCTATAGAAAGTTATCCTTTTGTGTTGTACTTTTACTTGGACAACACATTAGCATATTTAGGTGTAGTGTTGGTTTTAAGGTTCTTGGTTTATGTGGGATGGTCTTACATTGGCAAGGTGTCTTTAGGTAATGGGGAGTGTTGATTGAAGTGGAAACGAAGTCGCTCATCGTATTAGGATATGCACCCCTAGCCTCGAGGTTACCAGCTTGACTGTTCACCGACTGAGTTGTAAGACATTTCTGATGACCAGGTCTTGTTTTCGGTCTAGATAATTTAACTTAGAAGCTGCTGGTTCAAACTTTATCGCAATCTAGACCTTAGTCTCAACTTCAGGTATAGCCGCATTATTGAAATATTGGTTCACTGTAGTTTTCAAGTTGTGGGTTGTTGAGCTACGTAGAAGTTAGTTTTTAATTTAAATGTTCTATGAGCTGTCAATGAAAAAAAAACAATATTTGAATAAGTTCTCGCCAAGATGTCTTAGATCCAACTCTCATGCTTGTCGACAGTCAATCTTATAAAGGATCACTTGAGTACGGAATAATTCATCGACTAAATATGTGGATGGAGCATTGAACCGAAAATTATTGATGACATTTTTTTGTTGGATTATTGGTGAAGGCCAGTGGGTAGAAGTTGACCAAGAAAGTTCTTTCGACTTCTTAATATGCTTCCACTAAATTGTCATACTTGCTTTCTAAGTTAAGCGTATGTAATCATTATTGTGTTGGCTTAAGTACACTTATGGTTGACAATTGTTATTACAGGTGCATACTTGGCACAATTTTATTGTTTGTTTTATTCCTAAGTCTATTTGTTGAATAGTTCCCAGTTAAAATTATTTTTAAAAATCTTTTTTGCTGCTTAACGTTAGAATGGATATATTTGTGGATGAAACCAGTAAGAATTCTCGTTACGAGAAAGTTTGTTATCTTGGTGAAGGTCAATTCGCCAATGTGTTTCTTGCTCAAGACAACAACAGAAATGGACAGTTAGTTGCAATCAAAAAGGTAAATGCATTATATTGGAATTAGAAAAATATTGCATACTAACAGGTTTGCATATGTATTTTCCTTTTTTTATTTGTTGAAGTTGATATTTCATGAACATTGATCTAAGTGATGTTGCGTTGAACTCATTGGGCATCAATTCTGGGTTATTTTCCATTTTTCACTCTTTAGTGAATTTCCTGTACGGTAAGTCACCTAAGCACACATCAACCTGATCAAAGAAGCTTATGAATAAGTATGTGTGAAAGCAATTAAATACTTATTTTAAGCTACAAGGGAATTCCTCTCTGTAACATAATGTTACATATTCATCTAGTCAAAAGTAACTTTCCTTGTCCAGAAAGATGTTTTAGTAAGAAACCAAATCACAGAAGCTGAAAATTAGATAACAACCTTTACTATAATCTAAAGACTGATAGCTGAAGCTTCAATTAAAGGGTTTGGTAGGCTGTATTGATAGGAGCATTTTCAACTTTACGCAGAACTGAATTAATGAAAGTGGAACATGGCATTGGTTTGTCTAGAATAGTAGGGGATGTAAACGTTTGTCGACTCAGATCGGTGAAACATATGTTACTGCACAAGCCTAGTTTACTGCCTGTGCACTTCGTGCAACGTTAGCTAGAGTAAGTCGAGGCTGATTGAAGGTTAAAGATGGCCAGAATAAAACATGGCGTTATTCGATAGTCTAACTATTGATCTGAGTCATGTAGCTAAATCCAAACTTCCCAGTTCGGGTCCATATGACAACCCAAGTCATTTGTTGGAGTGTCTAGGTGGTGTCTCAGAATCGATCTCAGTGGCGCAAATGCATGCACACATTGGCTTCAACTAAATCGTCATATAAAATTTAATTTTGTTTTCATTCCTTGCTCTTTTTTCACGACTTTCTATCAGTCTGTTTACTGTATTCCTTATTTCTTTATCGTTCATCTTGGTGCTCTCTGCTTTGATGTGCTAATGTGAGATGTAGAAATTCGAGCTGTTGTGCAGTCATCTGAGGTCCCGTGTTGATATTGACTGACTGAACTTTTAAGAGTAAAATGGTGACACCAACTGGAGTAGGAAATGAGAAATAAGCTTTTTTACATTTCTCTGTAGTCCAAATTTACACATATCAAGGTGTGAAAATGATTACTTAAAACGGTGATATAAAAGTGCTGTTTGATACAAGCATGAAGCTAGTGACTTAAACAATATTACTTGAGAATAAATTAATAGAAACGTTAGTCAAAATACGAAAAGTAACTTGGTTATAAACTTATCGAAATTATTACTTATGTACGGCAAGGAGGCTAATTCTACTAATTTGATGGGATGGGAGTGATCAGTTAGCAGTTATCGGGATGAAATTGCGTATTTCAATTTTTAGGGTAGTTGGAGACTGTCATAAACTATTCCTATGTGTATGCATAACTCAGGTCACTGGTAACTGATCTTCTCAAAGTGAAACGAATTCATTAAATGCTTATCATTTTGGAAATCTTCGTCGCCGTCTTGTATCCACCAAACTTCTCATGATTGTACTTTTATCACCTCGCTGGAGCTGTAAATGTACTAATCTCTGAAGATTAAAGCAATTCTGAATATGTTTTGCTGGATTGAGATACTATATCATATTTTTGTCTACTTATCTAGGTCTTCCTAAACTTTCGTGAAATCGCAACTGTTAACGAAATCACCCATGCTCAATGTTAGTGTATTTCAGTATATAATTTAAAAGCCTTAGGCTTTGCTGCAATAATTAGTAAATAATGCTGTAGGCGGTATTTTCTTTTTAGCTTAAATACGTTTTTCAAATTTTTATTACCTTCAAGGTGAAAGCTGGGCCTCGTTGGGTATTGGCTGATGGCATGAATTTATCAGCAATACGCGAGATTAAGATACTTAAGGAAATGGATCATCCAAATGTTCTTAGTTTGCTTGATGTATTCAGTCAAGATAGATGTATATGTTTAGTATTTGACTTTATGTCATCCGATTTAGAAGCTTTGGTTCATGATCCAACAGTTGTTTTGATACCAGCACACGTTAAGGCTTTGAGCCTGCAGGTGAGTGATTACTATTGCTTTAATGAAAAATTCAATTGATTCATTTATTGGTTGTCTTGCGGTACTGTGTCACTTAGCACTCTCCAATGGTATTTGAATCCTATCTGCTTAACAGGTATCCATCACATACTACCATAAATTAAAGAATGACTAGGAAGTTATTTCGTCCTAGCTTGCTTATCATTGATCCTTTTATATGTTGAAACTGCGGTTATTCTGTTTGATTGACTACCCTAAAGCCATTTCTTTGAGACTCATGGTTTGTAGTTTTGACCTCCAGCCAATTAGTAACTAAGCATGATTCTACTCCAGAAGAGATTTGTTTCGTTTATAACAACATTTAGCGTTTAGGTCGCTTGCTTCCCTGCAAATTTCAAGATTTTAATTTTCGAAATAAATCATTAACGACAAGCGAGTTTTTATTTAAGTTGGGGAATCAGTGAAGTCGGAAATCAGGAAGGTTATTTACTGGGAGGGTAGATTGTGTCATAATATTTCTGACAAGTTACTTGTCTATAATTTCCATCTTGTCTGGTAGAGAGGGTTTAAATTTTTATAAGTTAGGCTGTGGATCGTGACATTGTTAATTACCCATTGTCATCGTCGATTAATAAGGCATTAAATATTTAGAACGATCGCCAACTAAACCCCCTATATTTTTCACCTGGTCCTTTGATTTATATCATTATTGGTGGTGTACTGTATATTCAGACAGAGAGAGAGAGAGAGACATTGTCGGATGCGGTGTCCACCGATCTATACTCAACAGTGAATAAAGATAAACCACACTGCTCTCGGTTATCGTTGGATATGGTTGATAGAAGACTATCACACCCTCTAGAGCGCACGTTTCAACTGCCATCAGGCGTTGATTTGGCTCAACGCATATTTGTATTTAAATGGATGTAGAAAAACAGCAGCTACAAGACCGTTCCGATAACGAGAAAATTGAGGCTTCTTTCATTGAGGAACTACTAAGACGGTTATCGAAAGTCTGTGAAGCAACAAAAGCAGCGGTGGACAGCAAAGGTTAACGAGATGGAGAAGGTAGTGGTGATAACCATAAGGATATCGGTCTGTCGAGCATTATGTAAGACTGTAGGTTGTATAATCACCAGACGTCTAAGTGAAGGTCAGGAACAGTAGGTAAGTTTCAGGCTTAATCATCGGTCTTTAAACGTAGGCACAATTACCGGTTAGGGACAACAGCTGTGTTTCTCAACATGAAAGCAGTGTAAGACTTCATCAATCGAGAGGTCTTATGGCAATGTCTCACTGGAACTAGTGTTGGGCAGGCGCAGCATTATGCCAACGACTGTATTTGAACATCCATGGGCGGGTTAAAATCTATGGTAAAGTGTTAGTTGAGTCATGTTCATCAACTGGTGTCAGTTAGAGATATGTGCTCTCTCCATTCTGTTTCAGTTTTTTCATAGACATACTATTGCAGGTGTCCGTCTTGTCTGACTTTACAAGGATTGTTTTTGTTTGTCATAGCATACTCCTTTTTAGACCTAGAATACATAGATAACATCCAAATGGAAACTGTTGCTCCAGGACTGGTTTTTCGCTAATGTCGTGTCTAACGGTAGGGAATCAAGTGGTTTAGTACGTTGATCATCTCACTTACCGTGGAAGTCCTACCAACCCTCTTGGGTCAGTGACTGGTAAAATTTGTACACGGATACAAAAGGCTTACTTGGCTTTTTCTGATCTGTGCCATTTATGACTCTGTCGTGATATCTGATTGCCTATTAAGCAATTCTCTTTGTTTTACTATATGTCTGTAAACCATGACCTCTAAAAGTGAGGGAGATCGAAAGGCTTTAGCCGCACGATCACCATTGCCTTCCTAGTATAGACTATTTGTTGCGGAACTATCATGTCACAAATACAGAAATCAGGCATTGACCATAGTCATGTCAAGGATGTCTCAAAGTTGTTTTGTTTTTTATATGACTATGAACAATGAATTATGTCCGAAACGTAATTCGGCAAAGAATACTGTTCTACCGTGTAATATTTCTAATAGACCAGCTAAAATAGAGGCGGTATAGTTTAAACATGGTATCAGTTCATGAAGTCTGTGACTGTTGTTCTAAGCCTTGTAGGTAAATGTAAACTTCCCAGTTGGGGTCCGTTTGACAACCCAAATCACTTGTTGGAGACTCTAGGTGATGTCTAGGAATCTCTCTGAGTGGTATAGAGATGCACACATTAGATTAACCCAATCATCGTACCAAATTTCATAATCTTTTTCGTTCTTTGCTCTTTCTTCATAACTTTCTATCACCCTTTTCAAAATCTTCCTTCTTGTTTTGTCTTGTTGCCTTCTTTTTTATGTGTTAGTGTGAGATATGGTAACTCAGAGTAACGTTTTTGCGTATCGGCCAGCTATTCTTTAAGGAAGTTACATCAACACAAATCTGCAATTACTTTTTTACCTCAATCTCCGTTCCTTGTGAATCATTGGATGATGATACTCAAGTAATTGGTTAATAGTTGTAAACTGCCTGATGTGTTTATATTGTTGTAATTCGAGTTGTGAATTTCGAAGTGTTTTTTACCTGATTATCTATAATTGTTCTCCAAGTTTTTAATTGTTGGTGTTCAGCCCTAATAGCCACCCCCTTGTTTAGCAGAACTTCTGCTTAGTGATGTCATTTTCGGTATTTTTATGCTGTCAATACTTTTAAGTTTTCTAGTCATTAAGGGGAAATCAGATTTTCATTTGGATTTGTACGGCTGTTAGGGGTGATTTAGTCTTGGGATTCATTTGGTATTAGAGTTTACATAATATTATATGTTTTCACATGAATATGGTTCACCAGTTCATGCAAACTTTGAGTTGGATTCGTAATATAAATATATGAATGTTTGCATTTAGTTAACTTTAATTAAATCTATCCTTTTTGAAACACTAGCTTCTTCGAGGTGTAGAATATCTACACGCCAATTGGATACTTCATAGAGATTTAAAACCAAATAATCTGTTTCTCAGTTCACAGGGCAAAGTTAAAATAGGTGATTTGGTTTAGCTCGTCAGTTTGCCAGTTCACCCCGTCGACCAATGACTCATCAAGTTGCTACTCGTTGGTATCGTGCTCCAGAATTATTTTATGGCTGTACTTTATATGGTGTCGGTATTGATATATGGGCGGTTGGTTGTATCATTGCAGAATTTTTATTGAGGACTCCACTCTTTCCTGGAGATTGTGATTTGACTCAGTTGGCGAAGATCTATGAAGTATGCAAAATTAATATTTTCTTTATCGGTATCACTATGCATTTCTGTTGTATGAATGGTTTTCTAAAGTTTATCATGAGAAATAAGTTTTTGCACTTGATAGCAAGTGGAAATCAACATTTCAAGTCATTGAATGATGAGGTAGACATTTTTGAGCCTCAGATTTTAATCTATGGTGCTGTACGGTCAGAGTGAATCTTACTGGACAATTTTGTACTTCAGGGAACTAATCGGGATAAATAATTTCATCTTTGGCGTAGCGCATTTTTATTTTTGTGAAAACTGTATATACTTGATATGCTTTTGTCGAACAAAGTCTTTTTCGCTGTCACAGGCTAATCCTTGTCTCCTGATACTTTTGTGGCTGTTAACAGTCACTAACGTATTGATTTCAGGTGTCTTTTTGCGTTCACTAGCTTTGTAATATCAGAGTCTGGTTACACCTGTTTACTTCAACATATGAACCTACCAACTTGCTCATTTACTATTGTTCCAACATCAACAACTGCTAGTCAACGTTTGTAGTTGTCATATTTGCGTGGGCTATCACCATTTGGTAGTCATATTGAACTGCAATACCAACTATTCAATCGTATTACATTAAGATAAGATCATTATGCTTAGTGCGTGAACTAATTTAGATAATGTTTAAGCGTCTTTTAGTGCGTTTTTGAGCTGTGAAGTCTGTGTCATTGAAAATTTCACTATTATTTTGGGGATTACAATCTTTAATTTCTTGTAAAACCGTTTTAAAACAATAATCTGTTGAATCTTTTTTCAGAAAAAAGCTTCCTCATTACTTTTTATCAGTTACTAACGTCAAGTGGTACAAAATAAACCTTACATGTTTTTATTTCAAATTGATTTTAGATTACTGGAACTCCTGAAGATGACTGTTGGCCTGATGTTTATCGTTTGCCCAATTACGTAAAGTTCGAACCTCGACCAGGGATTCCATTCTCTCAGATATTCACAGCAGCTAGTACAGATCTGATAGCTTTGTTAGAAACTCTACTAAGTTTAAATCCAGACGCACGAGGGACTGCTGTAACTGCATTACAATCATCCTATTTTACGTCTAAACCATATCCTACTCCAGAAAGTGAATTACCACAGCCTAAAGTTAATCGAACTGTAGCTAATCTACTTCACCAACATGAACATCAGCGTGGTTTGCACAATCCACTTGATCCAGGTTTAGCTAAATCACCACAGCCAGATTTGATAATTCCTAGTCTAAAATTAGATGCAAGCCTAGCAAATACACCATATGCAACTGATCGCAGAAGAACTCGTTCGTCAATACTACATGAACCTGATAGTTCACCTACATGTGCTAAACGATTACATCTGTAATATAAAAGTCCGGGAATATTCTGTATACTGCTACTATTACTCGCATGTAATTTCTTGTACATTGCTTAGCTTGTTATATTTCTTGTTCAGTAATTTGACGAATTTTCGTAGATTTCTGTTCAAATAGCTTCCTTGTTTCAGATGTGGTTGATGATTACTTTTATTATCAGAGTGAATGTGCAATACGAGTATTTTAGGAATTTTGTGCACACAGTCTAATCCATCATATCTCAGTAGCATAGTGTTCTAATGTGTACCACAATGAATAGTTAATATTACCTTAAGTTAGTTAACACTTTGAAAATGCTTTAAATCTTGTCCAAAAAATACCTGAACAATCCGTGGTGTTGACTGACATGGACAGCGTGTTCCATATTTTTGTTCGCATATATGGTGTTATCAGTTAACAAGATTAACTAGCTATCGAAGAAATAATTTAAAATAGGTGATCTTTTAAGCCTTTATCATTGTCTGTAAATATAGTTAGGGGACTAAATTACTAGGTACTTTGTTCAATAAATTTAGATCGTTTATCTAAATGAAGGGTTTTTTCGATTACTTCAGTCATTTTTTCATTCTGTTGTATTGTTTGGATGGTATTTCCTATCTCCCCAGTACTAAGTGTTCCTATGTCAAGAAACCATAAATAATTTTTTTATCCTGAGAACCTTGTATGCTGTGTTGTGAAAAATGGGAGTGAAACAGATGGTATGCCACTTTGCATTCATAAAATCTGAGTTTCCATATCATCTTCAGCATTTTATACCAACCGTAATATTATACCGGAGTCTGCATATTCCCTTGTTTACTGAGGAACCAGTAAGCGTCAATCAGTCAAACAGAAGTAATGAAATGCACTAGTATTGCAAATTATGTATTCGATAAGTTTTATTGGGCACATTTAGTAAATAACTAAACAGAACAATGTGACGTCAGAACTAAACGTGGCGAAATTCTCTTTGGTACAGAAGAAAAAAATGAGGAGGATAATGGAGAGTTGTCTATAGAACAAGAATGATAGTATGTTTGGTCTTCACAATAAGATTAACTGTTTATACATAAGTCACTAGCGGTAATCTCTACACATCTGTAAGTGTGGCCAAGGGATAGGATTTCCGTATGTCTATAACGTTTTTCAAGTTCGTTTTCCTCTTATGTAATTTTACCAACTTTGATATGACTTTTTCTAGCCGTTTTTTCTTCGCGTGGTATTTTGAAGTGTGGGTACTTGAAGCGAGGCACTTTTGAGCGTAATTCTGTCTGCTGTTGTGCGATGGTTAACTCGCGGTTGTTCGAGTTACATTATTGGTATTGCGCCTTAAATCTATAATTCTGGTGCTCTTGATCATGTTTACTTTCTCAATCCTCATATGCTTTCTCTTACAAATTTGTTAATTTAACTTTACAAGTATGTATTTGTTTATAAGGCATTTTCATGTAGAGAATACCGTTGAGGAGTAATCAGAAGTTGTCACATGCGATCTGGACAAACTCCAAGTTCAAAGAACTGATTCTTTGAACTTGTTGGTGAAAGACAAGTGTAAGACCTAAAAGGAACACATTTTGGTAGCTGCGTATAAACCACCAATTTTTCGTCTCATGCAAATGTAGCGAGATTCTCAAAGTAACAGAGTAGGAAGTTGTGAGTAAACAACGCAACACAACACGATAACGTCCCGAATGGTGTAAATACATAGTCTGATACATTCTACTTAACAAGCGTGATGAAGCTATGATGGTCACTTTTATCTACTGAGGTATCAATCTTTTCCTATCCACTTGTTCTCTGAATGTTACCGCGAATTGTGGCAACTTGTACTGATAAACTTCTATTCGGCGTTCTACGTTGATTTTGTGTGTTTAGTTAGCATCATTGTTGAATGTCGTTGAACTTTAGGCTGATAATTTATTGGTATAAGTTGAATGCCAAACACCCTCAAAATTACTCAACCATTCTAATGTGATAAGTTAAACGCCTTACACTCCAACTAAATTCTCCACAATTTTGTCAACAAATTTCCATTCTAATAGAAGAAAAATTATTCGATAGGAACCCTTTAGAGTATAGATGCCTATATGTTCGTTGTTATCAGCTATGCTTATCAGTCAAAGTTATGCGACAATAAATAGCTTTTTCTAAGTAATTTTTTTGGAATATTATCTAAAAGTTGGGGAAAAAGATTAGGATAATTGCTTTCAAAACTATTATCTAACACAATATCATATCTTAATCTACTTTTTTTAAATAAATAAGCTAACTTACGTTATTTTATCTATATGATGAAGTAGGGTGAACACCATTCAGATTGGTATTTTTATTGGCTGTATTGTGAAGCTTTTAAATTCAGTTGCTGCATTAGACTAGGGATAATTCAGCGAGGAAGATGCAACGATAAGTTTGTTTGAGTGTAATTCGCTCTTATATAACCCATCTAAATAACTATAAGTGTAAACTTTTTATCAGTAACACTTGTTTCATGTATCATGGTACGCTTAGTAAAATAGTAAGTGAAATCACTTTCAATACGATTATCGTATGTGATCAGTTATTTAAAAAAGAGCATCCACTGAACGGTCAATTGGCAAAGAGTTAGGAAACATCATAGACAAGTGAGGGTAATTAAACATAGTATAACAGCAGACAGCTAACATGGAGTATAATTGGGGGAAAGTGTTACTACACCATCAACTTGTGTATCTAAGTACCTGTGGTCTGCCTACATTTCAATACGAAATAAACCACAAACACATGTGTGCATTCTATTGGAATGGAACGTAGCCTACCCATACCGAACAATGGAAAGAACGTCTGTTAATCGTAATATGTTATTATTGTAACAATCACATTTCTGAGGTTGAATAAGGTGTAGGAGGTAATATAACATTGGTTTTATGTAATGATGTTGACACCGAAGAAATAAATATGATTTCCAGTAGATATATAATTCGCAAGCGAAATTGGTCATTTACTTAACAACCATTTTACAGACTGGAGATTCTCTAGAGTTTCATTTAATCACTAATTAACTAAAAGTAGCAAAATAGGAACTAAGATAATATGGAGTTCTTTCAGTTTGCCATACTGCACAAAAATATGGACAAAAGATTAACACACGAAGAAAAATATTAGAAGGAAATCTGGGAATAACGTGGCTAGGTGAATGATAGAAGATAAAATGAATAATGAAATGTTCAAGATACGTTGCGTAGTAAATACCTAGTAGTTCTGGAACATACCAGTTTTCCATTCAGATATTTCAAATTTACTTGATTTCTGTTATGTTACTTACTTGATGGTGACCAGCAGTGTGATGCCAACTGTAGATTCCTTCCTATTTTGAGACTTGTCAACTGGACCTACCTGCATCCTAGTGAGCGATGGTGCTCATACTGCTACTCGGAAATTTAGTACAGTGACAGTTGTGTGGCTTACGTAGAGAAAGATGTAAAACTATGGCATTATTATCACCAATTTGATTTGAAGTTTTGTCAGTAAATTTGACCAACTGATTCTTATTAGTTCTAGATTCCCAACCAGCAACTGCTGATACGTTTTACACTACTAGTCTTCACTGGTCTACACGATTTCACAATTGTTACTTTACTTTGTTCCAACACCGAATGGTAATGTTTAGTATAGAAGCCAACGGGATTGCATTGTCTGTAATTTTCGGAGCTAATATTGTACGGTGATATCATTCACTAGAAAACGATTCTTGTTACGACAGAATAAATGCCATTATATTTCAGTTCTATAAATGGGGCACATAAAGCAGGTCGCATCTTGTTGACAGCAAGACCAGAAACAAAGGAGCTTTCAAGTGTCATTTCAATGTAAGCGTGATTACAGGGATAGTGAATACAATAAAGCGTTCTACTTTAGATATGTAACATACAAATTCATATCTTGTTGATACTTAGAAGTCACTATGATTGGCATATTTTATTTTTGGTTTTCCTATGCGAGGAATCATCTGAGAATGTATGCTTTCCCTAAAGAGAGGGTGTAATGCCCGACCGATAGCTGCTACCTTGACGTAGTGGTCGGACTTGTATATCACAATGACCCAACGAGCTATGCTGGTGGAACGCTTGCTCCTTCGAGGTCCTACCATACCAGAAAGGTCTGTTGGATAGTGGTTAGACGAAAAGCAGTTACCGTTGTGGTGTAAATTGCTACACTATGATGGGGATCTGAGGGTGAAGTCGTTCTGCTGGTAGCTGGATGGGGTGTGACATCAGTAAGGTGTTTCCCTTAGATGACCAGCAGTGAACGACATGAATTCCCAACTAGATCTAGTTCAGAATTGTATCCAGTTCACTGTAGAGGAATGAGGAGAGATCAGTAGACCGCAATAAAATATCACTAAGAATCACTTTATTTCAATGTTATTCAAATTAGTCAACACACGAAGACTTTTTCGCGCACCCCTCTCAAGTACAATGGAGAGCGGAAAAAGAAACATTAAAAAAGGCACAACAGTATGATACAACGGAATACTACCTGGCGTACTTATGAATGATGGTGAAGAATTACTGCTTCGCTTAGATTTTATGTAGAAAACAGTCTAGTTATTCTAGTATGGATTTGTGAACGGTATGGTTTACAAGATCAGAAGAATACTGCTTTGATCATGCTAGAGAAATAAGCCTGGCTAACAAAGTCTTTTAAACCTTAGGGACTTATAGCCCATTCATAGCTCAATTCCACTAACTACTGCTACTTTTTTATTAATTACTATTGTCATTATTGTGGAGTATTAAATCGTAGTCCCTTTTGAAACCTAGGTTACCAGTGGTCACTTCTTTCTTGTGCATTAGTGAAGATGAAATATTTTATTAGTTGTTGAAAACTTCTTACAGGTCCTTAAGGTACCCATTCGTTGGTTCTGTGTTGTGTCTAACCATTCTGTATTCGCGTGTGAACCGTTGTATCTTTCAGATGTGAATAGCCGTTAAGCTTGCTCAGTTAGTGAAAGAACTAACCCTTAGTTGTGTGTGTGACTGCATAGGAAAATGACCATCAGTAGCGGCATAGTTGATCAGTAAAGCATTGCGCCTAGCGAGTGACTTTAAAGGCCACCCTATCAACTACTGAGATAACCAATCAGGTTGCTGTATTTTGGCTGGTTGGACAATTTTTCACAGGATACAGAAAAGTGATTGGTTGCTTCATCAGTTTATAAGGTGGCATTTAAAGTCACCCCGCCTAGCTTTCATTGCAGTCTTTGTGTTGTTGAGGTTGGAACCGATGCATTTTGTTCGTAATGTTCTACACTGATTTCGTATTTGTGTGTGTTCGTCCCGAAGACAATATTTTAACATATACGTAAAGAAATCAAGCGAAATCTATATAACATTCTAGAATAGAAGTGGTTTATTCGCTCTTGAGTATAACTTTAACAGCCATAAGTCACTATATCATGTATTTATTTGTCATTATTTTCAGTCAAAATAATTATTATTTTATTTTAGATTTTACGCTTCTAGTGTTATTATAGTGATAAACGCTTCGTAACTTTGATCTTGAACGCCCTAATACAAGCATATGTACACACACACGAATGAATAGATGAATGCATGAAATAATCTTTTGAAACTAGTCGGATGACATATTGTCAACAAAATTTTGTAAGCGATTAAAGCAAATAGGTTGTAAGTACAGAGGTGACTGTGTGCGAATAGGTAAGCAGAAGGCAGTGAAAAAGGATAAAACAAAGGGAAACTGCATGCATCGAATATACTCATTTACAGCAGTTTTTAATCATGGAATCAGTTTTCTTCACCTTAGTGCTCATTCTTAGGCTCAGTTACAAGAAGGAAATCAGATTCGAATGACTATAAATTAAGGGAAGGATTATACAGAAAATTTACAGTTGGATAAATATCAATCACTGAAATAACCTTAGTATCCTTTAAAATACTCACCATTTTTCGCTTATGTAATTTCGTTTGTTCTTTGTTCAAGAAGAAAGAAGAGATGTTAAGGTGTTCCCCTGCTTCGTATTCAACAGTCGAGAAGAAATATACAACAAAGAAGGCATACATACAGAATTGATAGTGATGTTTAGTATTGACTCGTTTTATCGTCGTTTATTACACGTTTTCTTGATTAGTATTGTTTTCCCGTCGTTATTGTTTTTTTCTGTTCATTTCCATCTAGCTCATTGTTCGTTTGGCTACCACATATTTGAGATACGTTCTTGGGTAAAATTGTCCAGACTTTCTGGATGAGGTAGTGGTAGAAATTTGATTGTTTGATTGTTGGCGTTTGAATTAATCACTTCTCTACATTTAAAGTAATACTGTCGACAATGTCTACTTAAAATTTGCGAAGTAGAATTACCAGTACGCTTTCCTTCATAATTTCTTGAACATGTCGTTGAGTAGCAAAGTTTGTGATTACTACATAACGTACTGCAACTATTCTTGTAAACAGAACTGTTCTTACTTTCATTAATATGTCCATTAGGTGGCCCCTTAATTAAATTTCTTTCGTAAGTAGGCATGAATGAATGAAAATTCGATAAGTTTGATAACTGATCATGTTCCAATAAGAGACCAGCACTTGCATAGAATTTAGGAAATTTGTCATCAAATAATTTGCAGCATTTCTGCAAAGCTGAGGCACTAGGTGCTAAAATATTCACCATAATTTCAATGAAACCTATAGGGTTTCTGCGAACACGTTTTGTTAGACAAATACGACAATCAGAAACACGTCCAATCGATTCAATACGTCGATCGTCATGATTTTCAAATAAACTTTCAATCCATGGTTCTAAACGGATCCAAAAACAGTAACTATATATGTTTATTGACTGACTGATCAAGAAATCTTTATTGACTGCAACTTTACTTTCGAGCCTGCCACCAGCTGTTTTACATATCCTTCTTATATTTGTTGCTTTTGTCACTCTGTTGGTAACATTACCCCCGGGAAATCTGGAAGACGGTGATGATGGAAATAAACGATTTCTAGGTGTGGAAACAGTAAAGAAACACGAATTCAATAATATTCTTTACTTCGATAAATTGCGCAAAAAGTGTTACAAATTCCATTATGTAATTCATTACATTGGCGATATCTTTCTAAGCAACCAAATTAAATTAGGGCGATCTCAAGTCGTATCATTCAGCAGTGAGTGGATTATAGAGCTGAGTCCTTAGGTTTTAAATACATATCTCGGATTTCATAGAAAGTGAAATTCCTGCTTACTGATCGAAATCTGAAGTAACAGGTGATGATTACCATTAAATTACAAGTTAAACAATCTAAACGAAGAATATACTTTTCAATAAATTCTAATAAGGTTCTGCATTTGTAAAATGGAATTGTACAGCGTAAAACAAGCCACGTAGAATCTAATGAGAATTTATTGAAAAAGATATTCCTCGTTCAGATTGTGTTTAGTTGATGTTATGGGAATCTCTAAGTTGCAAGTTATTTGACTGTCGCTTTTTGGTTGTGCTATCTGAGATACGGTCGACTCAATATGCTGATCTTCATAAACAAACGCAGCAAGGCTAGCCTACACATCGACATTCCAGTGTATTAGCTACTGAGCATAGTAGGCACCTAGTGTAATCATGATGGATCAACAGATATTTACCACTCGTTCATACCACAGCTGGATGAATTTTGAACTGCTTGAAATATAAGTTGAGAGCTAATCATTAGCCGAGCTTTGTATTTCAGTTAATAAAACATTAAGCCAACAACCCAGAAGTCAGTTTTTTGAATGTGATCATGATTATTACATTTAACTTCAGTCGTCGTCTAAAGCTGAGATTGTAAACATTGTTCAGTGTAGCCGAATCAAATCATTTGTGATTTACCACTTTTTATTTAATTAAACCAAATTGACTGATTGCTACTGGAATGTGGGCCTCTCTGAATCAATTCCTCGCTAGTGCCATAAGTTTCGTTTTGATACTGCTTGCTTAGTGGTAGCTAGTAACGTGATTCTGAGTGCGTACTTTACCTTCAACATCGACTTTATCAACTGTATCCTGGTTATCGAAAATGCTTTAAATAAGTCTTAGTTCAAGTCTGCAATGCTATCCATCAACAAACGAATCATATCAAAGTACTATAAACCTTCGTTCGCTTCGTTTCATGGCACCCATAAATAACAAATGTGTTTTATTGAAATTGGTACCTAAACTACTTTGAATCTACATTTATCACAGGAAATAAAAATGCTGAGACTTTGTTTTCTACGTGAATGAATATTTTTGCGTAATTCTATTTACACTATATCTTTATGTTTGCACTTCATATGCTGGGACTTGGGATTATCAAATCACCAGACAAGGAAAGATCTTGGAAGCTTTCCAAGCCCCGTTCTTAATGATACATTTCCTGAGTGATTAGTTAATAACTGCAGGGTCACACTACTATGATTGCTGGCAGTGTTTTCTGTGAATTTTAATATTCAAGTGCATGACAGGATCTGAACTATTTCTACGAAGTATACCTTGTGAACCTATACTATATGAAACTTAATATCTCATGAAATGATCACCAGAGAGTAGTCCTTGGAACAACGAAACTCTACCACGATGCAAAAGATTTGTAGCTCAGGACGAGGATGCTGGTGGTTTGGTGTTCTCTGAGCTAATTTCATAAAAACGTTAGTGCTGAAGATGTCACTAAGACTAGTGATGAAACGTTCGCGACAAAATATCAAAACTCAGAACACCAAACCATCATCAATGCATTACCACCTTCAGGCAGAAAAAGTCTATTGTGTACGAATATCTCTCAAAGGTAACCAGTGTACCTGTTAAGTCTTTAGTGCTCAGCAGTGAGTGAAGTCCGCCGATCATTATTGCAACATCGCCACTAAGTGCAATGATGCGATAATTCTATTTATTGAATTTCGGTGTTCAGTGTTACAATTCAATCAGTAGGAGGCTGTGGACTTTGGTTTCATGCTGTTTGACATTTGTCGGTTAAGTGTATCTCCAATCAAGAGGAAACTGGTGCTCTAGTTTATTTGAGCCAGTGTCACTCAATGTCGAAGTCAAAGGCCTTATCACTAAACTATTAAAACAGTGACTAAATTATGCTCACTAGAGGGTGATCCATATGGCTGTCAAGTCCTGAATCCAGAGTGCACCAAACCTAAGTTCAGAACTTTTTATCGACTCAGTCCTACCGACTAACACCAATACAATATTTCTCCACTGGTCTTTCAAAAGAATACTGTATCGTTTCATATATTTCCTCATATATTTTACTGATTACGCATTCACCAAAAATTTCTTGTTGAACACTGAAAAAATAACACGATTCAATCTAACAGTGATCACAAACAAATTTGTGGTGACATGAGAAATTAAACAAACTGGTCGCAAACGTCAAATTCACTTGAAGTAAGATATATATATATATATATATATATATATATATATATATATATATATATATATATATAAACCTTTTCTCATTAAATTACTGCAATAAATATAAGTTTTATTTTGATATAGACATTTACTTGATCTACTGTATGTCTCTGTAGTACATTCAGATAAACAAGAGCAGATATGAAGAAAGCAAGGACAAGGAATCAGAAAAAGCCATAAGGTTTTGTGATCATCTGAATCAGAATATTTAGACTTTTAACTAGTAAGACTAAATTAAGAGCGGATGCAAATGAACTACTTCGTTTCCAGACACATCTCTGTTGAATCACGGAAACGAAATGTTCAGAGATCTCTTTTTCGGCAATTTCATTCTCCATAACTGTACGATCGTAATTTATACATTTTTGTCTAATTTATTTGGAATGGTTACAATGAATTTTTAATTAAGCCTAGTAACGAAGATCAAATTGAATAATTTTCTTAAAAAATTCACAACTGTGATACGGGGTGAAAACCAGTCACAAAAGGGAATAATCTGAAATTGTAGAATTAGGATTCTTACGTTAGACTAGAAAAACAGTTGAGCAAAGAAGATATTGTCATTGACAAAAAGCATATTCATGAAGTCACTTGAGAATAAAATGACCAATGAATCAGTGATATAATAAATTTAAAATTGAAGAATACAAATGAGAACTTAGTATGTAACTGGAGTGAGTATTGCTAACAGACATCAGAACAAAAGATTTTACAGGTGTTTAACACCATTTATTTATCATCGGCTATCCCTCGAAATTTTCTCACCAACTCTGATAAAGCCTGTTCAAGTAACTGAGATTGTTTTACTAACTCACATATGCTGTCAAAAAACCCTGATGATGGATATTTCATGTTTTCAATGGTGTGAAAAATTAAACATTCTTATTATTTACATATTTTAAAACTTAATTTTGTATAACGTTGTATACTATTCATTTTAAAATCGGAAAGAAACATTATGTGTGACTGAAGAATATCTTCAGTGAGAAATCCTAAAATACATTCCTGACCAATGAACGGTGGAATCCTGGGACTGGTAAGAAAAAAACGGTGTCACATAGTGGCAGCATTGATAGAATTAAGACTAGGATTAGTAATAAAAGTCGTAGTGGACTCTTGGGTCTCTGATTTGAGCACTCGACTTTCAGCCAGTGGCTCATGAGTTCAAATCTCTTTCCATCTCCTGAAGTTTGGACAATCGGGTAGTATCAAAACCACACAAAATAAGTATGGCTGATTGTCTACTATACAAGATTACTAACAGCAAAATAAGTATTATTCGTAGTATTCCTTCAAGTTAAAGATCACTAGCATGTTTCGAAAGCTGTATGTTTATTTATTCAGTTGACCTGTGGACGGGAATCAGCTTAGATAATTAGAATAAGCATTATGTTGATTTAGTTCTTCTTTCGTTTCAAGAAATATGGCTATTTGTATCGATTTAATACCTCTGTGCGTCATATGTTGCTCCATTTACTTTAACGGGATGTAAAATCACGATGTTAAGTTAAACTCCAGAGAAAATTATTTTCAGTCCTTTCAAGGTGGTGGTTTCCTCTTGTTATGGATACAATCCCACAAGTATAAAGATAGTATCAGATTCTCCATATTCCGAAAATACTCTTAAAAACATTGTCCTTTGTGATATTAGTGATGGTACGGCGTCGATTCATGCTTGCGTTTAGTTTCTTCAACATCACACCACAAGAACTGGTAAACATCACCTTATTTATTTATTATTCCAATTGCCTCGAGATTAGCTAGCTGTTCATGATTGCTTTATTTGTAAACTGTTAATTCTAGCTTGTCGAACATTAATAATCACTGGTTTTGATTGCACAAGAGGCAGATGCTCAGTCTCAGGCTAGCACATAAGTATCTAGCATTCAGAACAAAGAACGCTAAAACTAAGTTTAGCCCGTTGGTTACAACAAAACGATTATTGTTTTATCAACCTCCAGAGATTGAACATTGATTATTGAGGTTTTGTTTGTATGCAAAAACTTCCACTACTTTCTTTTCCCCATATTTTTCTTTCGTGACGATTATCATCTGACTTTCACACTACCGAGGTATTTGTGCTCAGGTCACAATTTGGTTTTAGCTAGTAAATGCCAAGAACTTGTTTATTTTATTGAGCTTGAATCTACTGGAAATTTTAAATTGTGTGCTTACAGCGTTAGATATAACATCCTGCGATTCATAGAAATTTTGGAAATTTATTAACTCCGTCAGCAGCTCAGATTATTTAAAAACCGAAATACGACAAACGCATAAGTTACCTGATACTTGAAACAAGAGGCTTGGTGGCTGTCTGACTGAAGAGGAGAAGTTTTTAATGAGAATGATTGCAAACCATGTCATTAGTTAAAATGCACCAAGTTTAACACGAATTATTGTTTGTCGCAACTCCAGGCATTTATTTTCTTACTTATCATGCCTATTATTTCAGTTTCTTCTGGTTATTTTAATATTTCATTTGTTCATTTTCCGCCATTATACTTTATGAGATAATGATAGCATGTATCGATACCTAACATTGTGAAATTCTGCATTTCTGTAGTCAG